TCAGAGGCAAAGGCCGGTTGCAGCCAGTTCTTACAACTGACACACGGGTTTCAGGATCCAGCTGCCAACCCGACAGCTTCACGCCGCTTGATGAAGCTCGACAGCAAAGAGAGATCACTAGAGCTGTACCAGAACCGCGCAAGCATACCCGCCAGTCCACATCATACTTACCACCGACACGGTCGAGCATGTGGACAGATGCAGGGGCTTGTGGAAACATGCTTGAGGAGCAGGAGGGGCTGGAGGTTCGGAGCGCAGAGTGCACGCGCGGGTGTTAGGGCTCGTGGCGAAGGTGGAGGCTGGTGTTGCGGAAGATATGGTCACCTGGTTTGCACACAACTGCGACACGACTTCCGACAGTCACAGCTTTTCCCACCCACTGTTTGCACATGTCATGTGCCCCATATTGGGGAATCTACGGGTCCCCCCCCGTGCAAATCAAACATGACTCTGGGAGCAGCATGCTTGGAAGCCTCAGGAATCACACCAAGAACCAGTTCTTCATCCAGACACAGGACGCAACGCTTTACTACAAGTGGATTCCCAGCTCCACGGCATTGACTTGTTGACAGTGGGCTCCTAGTACGGCTACCCTTACGACCTTCGCCACAACCACCACTGCCACACCTGCTGCTGCTGCTACAAAATTAACACCACCACGATCACGATGACGACAACGACTACTACTGCAACTACGACTGCATACTGCTCGTACAAATAATAATAATAATAATAATAATAATAATAATAATAATAATAATTACTACTGGTTCTGCTGCTACCTCTTCTGCTACTGCTGCTACTGCTGCCGCTGCTATTGCTATGTCCATTACCACCCCTGCCACAACGACGACGACGAGTACTACGACCAAAACGACAACCGCTACTTCGGTTACTACCACCATCTACCACCACCAATGCCATGACTGCTGCTACTACTGCTACTGCCGCTGCTGCCGCCGGTGCTACTACGGCTGCAACTGCTGCCATTGCTTCTTCTTGCGCTAACAGCAAGTGATAGAACCCGTTTGGACCAACTCGTGGACGGAAGCTGCAACTGCCACCGGTAAAGCGACAGCTGTGCCTGCCGCTGCTGCTACTGCTGCTGCTGTTGCTGCCGGCACGACTGCAACTATGCCAGCGACAACTGCGGAGTCTCAGCATGATTGGTAGTAGCAATAGGGTAGGCAGAGTAAAGTCGTAGCTGCTGTAGCTGCCAATAAGAACACACTGCATCCCCAGCAAGCTGGCAGTGTGACTGTACCGCGCATATAGATATGCAGGGGGGCAAGCCAAGGTAATCTGCTGCGGAAGCAGAATTCCCTGCACCGCTACTCGGTGTTCATATCAACACACGAACGGGCTATTGCAGTCAATGGCTTGCTGCCACATCGAGGTCATAGACATCGTATTGTTACTGATGTTGTGCTTCTGGTGATCCAGGGTTGTATTGTGCAAGCTTAGTGTAAGGCAAGTGCCTTGCTGTGTCCCTATGCCATATCACGCAATGCAACACTGCTTTCATTTTCCGGTTAGCTTCCTTGCGTTCAATGTTTGTCCTGTCCGAAACCATCCGCCAATGCCAGCTTTCGTAGAGCCCTTGTCCTTGCGCAGGTTTCATGGACGGCCAAGCTGAGACTGATCACGGCGGAGAGTGTCTTTCCCTGTCCCCGTTTCCTGGCTGCAGCAGTGGAGCCAAGCTGAACGTCCTCCCCAATGTCGATCAGACTACGGTGAACACCTGAGACAGATGAAGGGCTGCATGCTTTCCATATCACAGCATGCAGCAAACTCAGTCTTCAAGTCTCCTGACAGTTGGGCCAGCTTCAGTACTGGTAGCGAGTTAGTGCGAGTGCCTGCATAGTCAGTCTGAAAGCTCCGGACTGTCAGTCGGTCCAGGCCAGACGTTCAGCTCCTCAGGCGGCACCCAGGACTGTTGTCTGGACGAGGTCTTCATGACGCTGAGGATTTGAAGCTTTTGTTGGGGTGTGTGGTAGGCTGTTGTGACCTTGTGTGCATTGGGTGCATGGGCTCGTGTGCTAGAGTTGGGGATGATTTGACATGACAACAAACAAGCCGACTGCCAATCCAAGTAGCAGTGGGTAGGCACAGGCAGGCCTGTTTGCCGGCAGACACAGCAGTCTTGAGTGTTTCCAACGATCGGCAGAAATCCAATTCCTGCCTTCAGCACATGGATGCGTTAAAGAAACGCTGAGGTTGTTTGATAAGTTCTTGAGGGAGCACAACATCGAGACGGCATCTTGTCTTCGGGAGAGTGGAGGAGGGCCGCAGTATGTCGCAGTCTCGCTTGAGAGTCGGCCGCCGGGTCGCCCAAAGCTGAGGCCAAGTTTGGTGTGGATCGCGCGAAATCATTGCAGGCCCTCGCAGCCGAGGCCTGATCAAGACTGGCCGGAAAATGCCTCTTCTCTTGCCGCTTGCTATGCGTGCGCATCAAGGCAAACCGTAACCGTAGGCGCGGGCAGCAAGGAAAGAAGTTCTTCTGCCTGGCACGAAGGTGCACAGCGGGGCTTCGCGGCTTATGTGTCCCGGCAGAGTTGTGAATGCGTAGCGACTCCGGCTACTGGTTTGTTACGTTGCGTTGATGGCTTGCGGAGCGCGAACACGCAAACGTCCTGGCGCAATGGTCAAGACCAGTGACTAGGCCCGTACTCTTTCGGTGGCTGATGCGTTATCGTGAAGATAGGAAATTCCCACAGCTTCTTTTCCGGCATAACCGAAGTGGCTAGATGGCCTGCCCACGCTGCCTGCCCACCCTGCCCTGATCTCAGGCTGGACGCAGCAAACTACAAGCCACCCACCTGAATTTGTAAGGCAGGCTTTTCTTACAGGAGGGGCAAGCAAAGGCACGATTGGCTCGTCGGTTGTGGACATCGGTGTGAAACTCACACTCACACACAGTAAGAACATGCTGAACAGTTATCCAGTTATCTAAAGTTCATCTTCGATGACCGTCTACACGTGACATCCTCTTCCGATTTTGGGGAGCATCGGTCTTCATGCGGCCAAGATTTTCCGGAACACTTGGAGTGAGTTGCCCGTTCGTCGATTGCATGAAAAGGAAACTTGTGCGAGTCGTGGATGTGGTCGTGCTGAAGCTCTATGCTGCTACCTCGGCCAGCCAAAGACATTGAAATAGCCAGCAAGCTGACCTGAAAAGTTGAAAAGCCCCCGAATAGCATCTCAGACTCCTCAACCAACCACAGGATGAACAGGACCGGCTCCTAGTGGACATGGAGGACTGATAGTGCAGACTTCGCTATCCCAGTCGTGGTTGGAGAGTAGTTGGCTCACAGGAACAGCTTGCGATAGGGTGTCGAGTTGCACGAAAGTATCAGAAATCTTGGACTTGGCAGGCAAGGCGAGATGCAGCGTCGTGAAAGAATTGTTTTGGGGTGAATGCCTCACTCGATCAGAGCTTCTCGTCGAGGAGCACTTCTCGGACGGGCGTCGAAGACCGACGCGACGTCTGCCAGGTTCGAAGAAGGCGAGGGTCGAGTGAAGCCTAAGTGTAGAGTTTGGACTCTGCTCATGGACGATACACAGCCCTCGACTACTGCACCCAAAGAACAAGAATAGAAGCCCGTTTGATAACATTGACACCTCAAGCACAACCTGCGACATCAAATATCCATGCAGAGCCTTTTAGGAGACGACCGAGAACATCCGCCAAACAGCTGAACGAATTCTGGAGGACCTGCGATTTTCGGGAGGGGGCCTATGACATAGTCCCTGCCACATTCGCAGTTGACGAGAATGAGAAACGTGTTGGCTGCCGAGAGCATAAGAGCGGACCTTTTCAGAGATGGCCCTTCTGTAAACTCGCTTACGTAATTTCTTGTGGACTAACTCGTCAGCACAAATCACAGTGTTTGGTGGCTCAGCCGTAGGCTGGAGACTGGCTCCGAACTGGCAGCAGAACACCCGGACACAGAACCGGACCGGACTTGGAGCAAGTTCCGGCTCGCAGCAGAAGAAGACGAAGAAGTGGTAGGATCGTCGTCGTCGTCTTCGTCGTAGTGGTAGTGGTAGCGGTAGCGGTTGTAGTGGTAGTAACAGAAGCAGTGGCAGCAATTGCAGCAGCAGCAATAGAAGCAGCTTTAGCCACTGCAACCAAAGGATATCGCTTGTTGCGCTGCTTCTGCTACGTGGTTACATGCAGCACACTGTGCTACCAGTCCAAGTGCTTTTTGGCTATCATCCGGCTGCATGTAGCTTTCGTCACAGCTCCGGCGAGAATCGACAAGTCGAGGAAACATTGAACTTGGATCCGGCCTTGGCGCCTTGGACCGCAGAAGTCGCATCCAGTGGCGGGGCTCGCTGCCTGGCGCGGTCACAGCTTCTGACCTGTAGGTCAGCAAACAGATAGGGAAGACGTTTTCTGCTCTTGGGAGCTGTCCACTGTCTTCGTCTAGCTAACGTGCAAGCCCGTGTTCAGGATGAGAGTACTTCGAAGCAGCACGAAGACCTAGATGCGGATTGGTCCGCTCAAGTCTCGTCCTGCAACACTCTGCACCGACCGCGCCACTGACACAGTTTGATTTTGAGTGCGTGACACCATGGCCTAAGGCCTGTCACAGCAGGACATATCTTTTTTGAAGAATGAGCTTGGAGTTGTGAAAGCCAGTTGAATCCAATTTCGCATCGTACGCCATAATTTGCGGCTTGTTATCCAGAGGCATTCGGGTATGCTGAATCACTACGATGGTTTCCGTGCGCAATGATGCACGTGAGATGCCAACCGTCATTCTTGTCTGCCCCGACGCGTGCCTAAGGTCTCCTTCAACCTCCACCTCGTGATCAATCAGGTTCCTGGCTTGTGAAATTTGCATGGGTTGAGGAAATGTCGTGTGATTAGTGCAACCGGACTCTTGAAGGAAAATTAAGGCTTGCAAGTGGAGCCAGCAACTGTACCTGCCACCCTGCTCTTATCCTGCTGGTTGTAGCAGTCCGAACGTGTTTGCGACCGGTCTTCTAACGATATGCGGGGACCATGCCGCCAAATACGAAGCCAGCGCGTTGAAACAACGGCCAGCTCAATCAAGGAAGAAGAGTTGGACTCGCCATCCTACCCTGGCCTGCACACGGTGTACCGAAACACAGCTGCCACCAAGTGTTTAAATTGCAGATTGATGTTTCAGGTTTCTGCTACTGCCGGCGACTTGTCACAGCACTTGCAGCAAAGATCCTGCAAACCCTGAGTGGCTTTTCGCCTTGACCGCAGCATGCAATGATGATGCGCCATGCATTTCAATGGTTGCCCCTTTCTCGGTGTCTCAGTCACTAATCGTCAGGGCAAGAGTGCAGCAGAGCTTTTTGGCATCGCTCGGCTTGCTGTATGGCACTGTATGGCAGCTCAAGGACCTGAGGCCTGTCACGATTGCTGCTCCAGAATCTGTGTTCGTTGTCAGATGTGTCACGGACTAAGGAAAAGAAATTGTTACCGGTACCGTCGAATCCGAGGCTGGGTGCCCACGCTGTCACATAGACGTAGCAGCCACTGTGCTTCCGAAGACGTTTCTGCTTCGCGACGAGGATTGCTGGTAAGGGCCACGCCCATGTATCGCAAAGGACCCCGAGCTGCAGAAGAAGTTCGGCCTCGGGGTTCATGCGGCGGGCTGGCGAGCCAGCGAGCGAGGCTGCACCAGGCGCCGCTACGCAGGGCAGCGGCAGCCGGGGGTGCGAGATGGTGTGTGCGTGTGTGTACTTTACCACTGCACTTGCCCGCCTCGGCCAAGTCCGCAGCTGTGTCTGCACAGTTTTCGGGGTGAGCACAGCCGATGGACTGTTTCAGCAAAGGACAGATTTCGAAGCATCTCAAATTCTAAACTGCTAAGCCCCAGAATCCATCCGCGCCACCAAGGCTAAGAGCAATCCCTACTGCAGAATGGAAAGCCATCCCAAAACCACCAAATCCGTACGCGGAAACGACCAGCGACCCGATAAGACGCCCCGGAACCGCAAGAAACTACCCATGTACACAGACGGGAACAGTCAAACAAACAACACTTTCGGCGCCCCAAGCCCCCACAATCTACCCGCCCAGCCAACTGTCAGAAAACATGGAAGGCTTTCCCAGACCCAAGCCCCCAGTCTCGACTCGGAACCTGGGGCGAGTAGGGGGAGAGGCTGCTGCAGTGGATGACGGAGGAGGAAGCTGTTGCTGCTTGGTCGGCACTGCTTCGTCACTTGCGATTTGGAAATGTTTTTTCGCGGGAGCGGAGTTTGCAGGGCTGCTGCTGTGAGTCCTGTAGCGGCTTTTGCAAGCTCGTCTAGGCTTGTTTCGCAGGTGTGGATACAGTAGCTGCAAGAATCGGTTGGCGCTAGCCCCTGTATGCCTTGAAATCTGCACAAATGAACATCCGAGCCATGACCAGCTGGTTTGGGGTATCAGAAGATGTCAGAGATTTTGCGGAGCCGATGCGCCAGGGCTGTAATCAGACGGAGTTCATCAGGACTTGGAGACTTTGTGAGGTCAACCTCCCGCATTGCTATCAGAGGGTCTGATCCTCTGGGAGCCGAGGCTGCTTACGTCAAAGTGGATGTGGAGAGTTCAGTAAGCTCTTCCCTGGTCCAGGCCGGAGGGCTGAAGTTCGCATATTCGCCATTTTGCACCCTCTTCTCACCGTGAGGCACCGATTGGCTTGAAGGAGGACGAGCTCACAGCATATCTCACAGAGCTGAAGGTTGATGTTGGGATCCGAGATGTCCTCATGTCCTGCAAAGGGCTTTCTGACAGCTGTGAGCCGGTTGATGGTTTAGAAGCTTCATCACGAAGGATTATTCGTAAACTTCTTGGAGAACTAGCACAGACTAGCGCAAGCAGCGGTATCAAGCTGTACAGTGTGAAGTTTGGTCTTTGAGGTGAGCCAGTACGGTCGCCAAGGCGCTAAGACGCATCCCGGCGCCGTGATGTTCGATCTGCTGTGCTGCATGCGACAAGATCGGGTTCATTTCATGTTGAGGCGGTTTCTTTGCCACCTGTTTGTCGCCGACAAACCTGGAAGTCTTTCAACGTTGTTGCTGCCAATGCCTAGGATCAAACAGTTATCCGACGAGCTCATTAAGGGCGAGGTTCAAGTGGGCAGGGACAAGACCCTGGGACGGCAGGATCTTGCTAGGTGAGCCAGCACCCACTTTCAGATTCCAAACAATTCCAGAGCTATGCCCTAGGACTCCAGTAAACATGCGTATTGGTTTCCGGCCATCCAGCTCCGCTTGCTGTCCTTGATTCTAACGGTCGAAGCATGGCACTGCCGTCTTTGAAGCTGGTCTGTGCACAGGGACTCAGCACCTGAGGAATGGAGTCCCGGCAGTTGTCTCTGAGCAGCTTAGGTTGCAGATGCCGAGCCAAACCCGTGGAGTGCAAGCATGTTGTGCGAGCCAGCTTCCCTCGATCACCCTAGACCAAGACACCTAGTCATCTCAGGGTGGTGAACCTCTGCATCCACGATCCCATGCGTGGCGAGATGCTGTGTCAGTACAAGCAGGCTGCAGCGCTTTTGTTGTGACGGGTGCGGGGCATTCCAGTTCAAGCGGTTTGGAAAGCATAGAGAATTGAAGATGCCTCGCCTTGCAGCTTGGCTCCGGCGACTGCGCCTATGAGCACCTCTCCCTGCCATGCACGACGCGGCGGCCAGACGCAGCTTCCCGCAATGGAAGACTGTCCCTTGTAGCTCCACTGTACCAGTGTCCAGACTCAATGCATCGACAGTCTTGGGATACCGGCCATGTGGCGTCATGTCTTCTGTCAACTCTCTGCTACTGCAGACTAACTATTGACTGTTGCTTCAACCTTGCATGTTGTCGCCTGACTGTCGGGAAAAAGTTCTGATGCTCTGAGGAAAACGAGTTTCTTGTTGCGAAGCGCATCTTGAAGAAGCTCGTCCAGAACATGTATTTCGGGCTTTGTGACTTTCTTGACGGCTCGGTGCTGAAGGTTCTGCTGACCTGAGACCTAGGTTCTGTCAGAGGCTTCGGACGCCGAGAACTTGCTAGCGTTAAGCTGTTTGTTGGACCTAATTATGTAGAGGCATGTCAGCTTCTTCGAGCTCGCTGAAGTTGTGATTCGCATCATCGTCGTGGGTCGACCAGTGAACATCGCGCGTGGCGTGATGCAATCGAAAAGGCTTATAGAGGCGCACCCCATGCGTTCCCCTTCTGAGCATTAAGCAATGTTCAAGGTTTTCTGCCCGGCTTACCTGGACATACCAACCCCCTGAAAGTTTCTCCTTCCTGTCGGACCGATGAGATGCATAATGACTGACGGCTTAAAGTCAGATTTCGAGGGCTCAAACCACATAAAGACACTGCAGGAGGCAGATCGAAGCATAGCGTGGACGCGGGTGTCTGCTTTCGTGTCAACTCCAACTGTCTTGATGGTGTGAAGCTCCTCCTTGCATTATGTGCGCTTCTCTCAGGAGACGCCTTCGCATCAATCCAAATACGGTAATCCTGGAGACGAAGGTGCCTGGATTAGATCATTATATCGGTTCAATGCATCAAGAGCAAAACTTCAGGATCTGAGCTCCGATGTGCCGCGACACTCTGTAGGTTCGACGACTTCAAGAGGAGCGCTCCACAAACGCTTACCCTGGCCTGATCTTCGTCAGAGCCTTTGGCAGGTAAAGCCCGAAGCCATCCCGCAAATTTGCTTGGGGCAGCGGGTTTGACCTGCGAAGGTCGAGCGAGAGCTTGTGATCACTGCCAACCTGGACCCACAAGTTCCACAAAGCCGAATGAGGAGTAGTAAAATGAGTGCAATAAAGTTCGTCGAGCGCTGACAGACCCACGCGAGGTTTAACTCGTCAGCTTGAGCTGACAGACCCGCGTGAGGGTGTGCAGACGGGATTCGATTCTTGCTTGGTGCTCGAGAAAGTTTTTAAGAGGTTCGACAGAAGACTGTGCTGGATGTTCACTGGTGGAACCATGCCCAGCCACCTCAGCATCAAACACGTCGACAGCTACCTGTGCTGTTGACCTGCAACGCACCCAGCCAGTTTAGCTCTTAGACCCCGGCGTTGGTTCGCGACAGCCTTCAAGGCAGCTACCCTGTTGATGAAGGCTCAGGATAATTGAGGCAGATGTGGTTGCCGAAAGTGCCTGTTTGTGCAGGTCGCGATCCCCGCCGTGCTTTCCAGTCATGAGTGTCCAGTTAGTTGTATATATGATGTATTTATGCATGTATGCATGTAAGTAGGTAAGTATGTATGTATGAGTATAAACGCATATGCAAACATACGTTGACTGATAGCTGGATATAGGTATATGCGCATCTATGCCTGTGCGATGCATGATTTTGGTTTTCACATCGGTGACTATCGAGAACTGGGCCCTTCTCCGAGCAATTTTTTGCATCAGGCTGTTGCAAGGAGCCTTCGAACATCCTAGCATGGGTCGTTTTCCCGTGGTTTGGTAGCACCTTGCCGCTGTGCGGTCGTGCCTCCTCAGATTTCGCACAGCTACGCGAAGTGAAGGGCTTCGTGTCCATAGCTTCTTGGTGCCTCTTGGCTCGTGAAATCAGGGAACATCAGGAGCGAGTTCTTGGATTCAACAAGCCGAACTTTGGAAATTTGTCGTCGGCTCGCGTGACTTGACCTTCTAATCCCGCACGAAGGCTGGTGAAGTTGCAGTGAGGGCAATGGAGGAGTCTGGGCATCTTCCGGGGTTTTTGGTTTGGTACCCAGGCTTTGAGGGTGGATCCGTGCAGCCCAATGCTCGGCCACAGATCCTGGCTCAAAGCAGCGGAGCCCCTCGGGACTTGAGTCAAAAAATTCTCCTGCTCTATAGCAAAGTCGAGTGGGCTCAATCCGGCCCAACTGATTTCCTAAAGGGCTGTCTTGGTAACCCCCGATCCCCGAAACCGCCGAAACCTCACAGTTTGCTGACAGTTTCGTTTTATGGGGTGCATGCCGAGCAATGGAAGAGGACGGTGCAAACACAGCGCTGCCGGGGCCTCAGCTCACCGGCAAAGGCCACAAGGTCCTGAACACAAGTCTCATATTTTCAGCATGGTTCTTGGGCCAAAATACAGGCAAGCATGTCAAGGCATGCGACAACGAATGAGGCAGAGATGTCCCCATCCCTCTCGGTGGCATATATACTCTTACGGGTTCATGCATTTGTATTTACATAATTGTACATGCATACATGCAAAGATAGATACGTGCATAAATACGAGCATTACATGCTCAAGTAGACATAAGTAGACTCAGGTTTATATTTACGTTAACATTGGCTTTCTGTATTGACATTTACATTACATTACATCTAGACACCACGCCATACCATCCCATGCCCTACCGTACCGTTTCACGCATAATGACATGCATGCGCTCATATTCCTGCGTACATTCCTGCATACATATGCAGGCGCCTGCGTGCCTGCCTGCCAGCCTGCCTACATACCCACACACGAACAAGCAAACATACATGCACACACACATTCTTGCTCGCGCAGTTACTTTCATACATGTGCATGCCGCATGCCTGTACATCCTGTACGTATACATGTGTGAAAGAACGAAGGAATGACACATGATTGCATCACATTGCATCTGTGCAGTGCAGCCACAAATACACATGCCTGCATGCATTTTGCATGCGTGCATACATACATTCATGCGTACATATACTACATGGATGCGCCTACATGCATGAAGACATGCATCCACACATACATGCATACCGCGGCCCAATGTATGCATCCACAGACATACATGTGCATACACATCCATACATAGACATTCATGTGCATACATACACATACATTTACTTAGACACATACATACATACGTACATATCCACGTATATATACATATATATATGTGTGTATATATATATATATGTATATACATGTGTGCACGAAGGACCCAGAAGAACTGAGTCTGCTATCACAAAAGCAGCGTTTAACACGCCATGTAGGCGTAAGAATGGGCCTGTAAAGGGTCCTACCCTCTATCTGTCTATATATCTATCTACCTATCTAGCTATCTATGTGCCTACTATCTCTATCTGTATGCACGCATGCATACCTACACAGCCTGCATGCGACTGCTTGCATGGATGGGTGGATGGATGGATGACTGGTGCCCACTTCGTGTATCCATCACCACTGTCGCCTTGCTGGCGTATGCTGGGGTAACTTCGCCACTACGATTTTGTTCTCGTCTTGCAACAGCACTTCAGAACACCGCCTGGGAAACTAAAACTAAATGTGGGTGTTTTTTGGCCATGTTTGTGATCCTTGACTCGCCAAGCTGGAAACATCAAAATTTCCAGCGACTTGCACCCCTCCATGAAAACGCAGAACATGTTGGACACCAGCAAGGCTTCAGATTATTCCGGTGGCATATTTTTCAAACCCATGACCAACATCGAACACATTGATGCTTGAGCGCTGAGAATTCAGTGGCCGTCGAAGCCGCGGGCTACATCCCATCGGAGCATTTTTGCCGTGGTATTCGCATTAAAAGCAAGGAAGCCACTGGAACACAACTCTTATCGATGTTTTCGTGAAAAGCTGGCTGAGCAGCGAGACCTGTTCCCAACCGTGATGGAAACGACGAACGACCGACTAGTCTTTCCACAATCGGCTATAACGTGCTTAAACATACCGTTCATCGATGATGCTAGGACTGCCAACCACACACGACCCCTAGTATTGCCGGCTTTAGCAAATACCACTACTATGCCTACTATGCTAACAACGCCCGGGAGACTATGAATACCTGCATTAGCTGAATATCAGCCAGATCGTCCCTTTAATGCTCTCGGAAAACATTCCAAAACCAGATTAAGCGGCATTAACGACTACGACTGTCTTTCAGACATCCAACAAGCAAGTGCAGGCAAATGAGTGATATGGATGTTCCTAGTTGTTCTGCATCTCTACTTGTCCATATTGTAGAATGTTTCCGTTACATACATGTGCGGACGCATGATGGGGCGAAGGTAGCTGTTCCCCGGGCGAGGCTCACCTCTTTGAATGCTGCTCTCCGGGCGCTGCCGGAACAGCCACCTCCAGCGGCAGATCGCCTGGCGCTGGAGGCATTTCCTGCGAACGAGTGTACAGGTCTTCGCGTGCGTAGCTACACGTGTTCTACATGGCAGATGTTCCAGCTTAGTATCCAAAGCTTCCGGAGCGGGGTGAGATTTCCAAGATGCTTGCAAAATGAAGACAGAGAGAGCCATTGCAACGGAGCTTTTGGAAGTGTTCGCTCTACCATGGGAGGTAGCTGGGGACTGCTTCGTGCTTAGCCGCGGAGCTGGAGGCTGCCAAGTTGTTCGCCCTCACGGCCGCAGAAAGAGACAGAGAGAGAGTGAGGTGAAAGCGTCTATGACACTGTGATCCTTCAGTACATGGGAAGACTTTCGATTCTAGTTTCGACCTCGGGCTGTGTACTGAGGCCAGCCACCCGGTCAGCGCAAAGACTGCGTTATCACAGCACGCTCGGCTGCTGCCCTTCGGCAGCGGAGAGTTGTCAGCTGCGGCCGGTGCACCGCCTCCGAGCTTCGCTATCACGTCTTGTGAAGCACGGGCAGTGCACGGGGTCCTGTGTCCTCTCTCCGACATATCCCCTGTTCAGCATACTCTGACATGTGGCATACATACTTCCCAGTGCAGGGGATTGCTCGTTAGTGGAGGCTCTTTCATTGCTGGTCAGGCATGGGCGGATGTTTTCACATGCTTCAGGTTGTCACATGACATGCTTCAGGATCTTTGGGCAGTTGCCCGTGGCAGCTCAAGTCCACAGGCGGCTTTCGCGCAAGGGAAGATCTCCGTGCGAGGCCATGGCCACGGGCGTTTGAAGTCCATTGCGCTAGGTCCGTGCAGGGCTGGATTCGCCCGGAGCCTTCTGCCTTTAGAATTTCTGGATAGGATTCTAGGATCAACTGCTTTCACCAGAGCTGTGGACAGCAGTAATCAACCCTGTCGAAGGCGGCTTCTCGCCCCTCCTGGAGCTGCGCCCTTTCATCGCAGAGCTGCGGGGAAAGATACCAGCAGCTCAGGTCACAATAGGGATTCTTGGAGGCTGAACTTAGGAAGTTCGCTGCAGCCTGCGCCCCTGTGATGATTGTGCTTTCAGCTGGGCTCGTGGGTCGTAAAATGCGCTGAGGTCACCGACCTCATGCCAGGATGCCTGGCACGAAAGAGCAAGGGTTTAACAAGCGGGATATGCCTTTCATGTAGCCTCGCAGCCAGATTGTCAGAGAGACGCAGAAAGAGCATGCGTCATCGAAATCTTTATGGCTTCAGCTGATCGATGTACTATGTTCGCCTCTGCCGAATCAATGCATTGGGTGGGCTTGTAAGCCCAGGGGCTGTGACAAGTCCCCAAGCCCAAGAGAGAGAGAGAGAGAGCGAGAGAGTGCCTCCTAGCCCCTAGCAAAGCAAAGTGGGAGAGAGCATGCATGACACAATGCATCTGCTTCGCGGCAACACTTGTCCAGGTGGAACATGGCTACCCGATTCCGCCGCAGATGCATGTATGGCGTGTGACGCAGTCTTCACGTTGTTCAGGCCGAACTTGTGCCCAAGGAAATGACTTCGTCGCAAGTTGCTTCTGATCCTTAGCACAAGGAAGTAGCCGCAGTAGCCAATTAAGTAACCTCACCACATTTGCAGCATTTGCCCACTGAAGCCGTCCAGGCGTCGCCATCACTGCCGCAGCTGTGGAAAGCTCTTCTGTGACCGCTGCAGCCCTTGGCGTGCAGGCACTCTTTACTGGGCCAGAACGACTAACTTCTTAGAGGGGACAAGCGACAAGCAGAAATCACGCACAGGGCGCGTGCGAAGACGAGGAGGGTACAGTACATGATTGTCGAGAGGACCATTTGTTGCGAGAGGCCGCTGCTATTTCATTCTTCTAGACCGCAGGCCCTGCAGCACGGCAGTGCGACGAGTGCTTTCGCGCGAAGACAGTGATCTCCGAGGGTGCGAAGAAGGACCAGGCCAGGCCCTCTGTGACTGACTGCGCGATTTGCGTGATCCAGGCTCTCAGTCAGTTAACTGGGTATAGTTCTGCTTGTTGGGGTTTAGCAGCTATTCGCACACGGGCATGGCAACCTGGTGCTTTGCGCCTTGCACCTGAGGGCATGGTCGCTGAGCAGATGAGGCTATTGGAAGTCCGACTGGAGGACTTGCATCGTTAAATGTCGTTGATATTCGTGAATCAATAAGTTGAATCGGTAACAGGAGCTTGAACCAAGAGACGCCAAGCCCCTCCTGGTCACATAGGTGGACAACAATTCAGGAATCCTTATGTTGCCCTTGCCCAACCCACTCGCCCACATGGTATGAACGGAGGTGAGCATACTTCTGTGGCATGATGTAGCAGCCTAACGGCGCAAACAAAGCAGCTCAGCGCCGGGCAGCAGGAAGTCGAAAGTGCAGCTGCTGCGCGCGAGGCGGAAGACTTTTTGGGCACCGCCAACGCTGCTCGGCAGGAAGCTGCTAGTAGCAGGTGTTGGGTTGAGATTCTACAGATGTAAGTGGAAGCCAGACTTCGCAGGCATTCCTGGGCCTTCTAGCTGCTGGTCTGCTGTTGGCTCTGGTGGCCCTGGGCGCAGAAAGGAGGGACGTTGCGTTCGTTGCTTCTAGATTCCGTATTCCCGCAGGACATGCATTCCTCGCTGAGCCATGCTGGGTCTATGTAGATGGAATAGGCTGTGCAGCCCCAAGTAGCGAGGAACCATCTGGCAGTTCTGCTGGCGCTTGTGGTGTCGAGCAGGCCCGTGCCATCCCGCACTTGTCTGTGCTCTAGACAACCTCCGCAGATTTCAACAGCAATTGCAGCACAAAACCAGTCTAGCCTCAGCCTTCTGTCTGTACTTTCTACCTTGCCTTCCAGATCGCACATTGATCGCATGGCATGTCTCTCTGTGTCCCCATGCGTGTCCTTCTGTTTCCCTCGCTGTGTCACATGGTTTCACAGTCGTGCAGCTTCACTCGTCTCTCCGGGCAGGTGTCTCTTCTTTCGGCAGCTGCGTGCCCTGTGGCTGTGCGTCGGCCGTCCTCACATATTACTAGTGATTGAGGAGCTCGCCCTGTCCGCATAGGGTCAAGACCGTAAAAACAAAGAAACACATGTATATATATATATACACGTAAAAATAAGTACATATTGTATTATCATTATCATTATTATTATTATTAGTAGTAGTATTATTATTACTGTTATGATTATTATTAATAGTTGCTATTACCATCATTATTATTGTTGCTATTGTTACTATCTTTTATGGTTATTATTATTGTTATTATATAATATATATATATACATATATATATATATATATATATATATGTGTGTGTATAAATAGTTAAATTTAGATAAGTGTAATTTTCAGTATACAAACATGCAAATATACATAAATAAATGTATGATATATATATATATATATATATATTCATATGTTATACAGATATTTACAATATATAAGAATATAGAAAATATAAAGATGCAAAAATATGCAGATAATTTTGAATATATGCATATTCATGTCCATGCCTGGAAAGAATGAGATACTCAAGCCCACCGAGCTTGTGCAACAGTTGTGACCTGGAGCTGTAGACCTTACCACGGCACCGCGTTAATTGTCGGAGAAGCTTGCGACGCTCGAACACAGCTCGAACAGGCAGTTTCGCAGATTTGTTTTAGTCTGCTGGCATGCTAAGTCATTAACGATGTGCAACGGCCGCCTCTATGCCAGCTCGGACCCACCAACTGCTTTCGACCATGTCAGGCCCATAGGCTAGTCTCGTTTCACATGCTCAGCATCCACACAGTAACACCTGAGGTCCTTATTCTTTGGAAGCGCCTTGCCCTGAAGTGTTTCTGGCTTGCGTGCGCTGCTACCAGTCAGGAAGTCTGGGAAGGCAGGAAGCCCTTTCGCGCTTTCTACACCATCCAAGGTACAAGCAGAGTGCTTGGGAAGCGAAGCGTTTGTGCGAAGAGGACCTGGCATGTGCCGCCGCATGCGAATTCTAGCTCCAAATCCAAGTGGAGTAATGAGGTAAGTAAGGCAGCTGTGACGCGCGAGCCCAAATTTCAATTCCGTGGATCTCAGATTAGGCGGAGGGCTTCCCGCCGCTGCCTCCCATGACTATGCCAATTAGACTGATGGTGAAGCACACCCGCTGCGAGCTTAGAACATTCTAGGACTTCCAGTTAAAGGTCGTTGGTGGCAGTGGCCTTCTCTTCGTTAGCGACTTTGTGCTGTACCACGACGTTTGGGTTCTGTCGTTTGCTCCAAAGCGGTCCGGTCGTTCATCGCTGCTGCATGGAAAGGCAGTTTGGCGGATGAGTGTGTGCTACCTAGACTCTTGCCCAGAAGTGGGATGCACTGCACGTCGGAGGGCTATGGAGGGCTCAGATGCTCCAACTCTGTCTGCACCGCAGGACGGCAAGAGGCTGCTATCTGCGCGATACAGGCTGCATTTAGTGAATGGTTTAGGGATGTCGACCTGGCAGGGGGATGGCTTGTGAGGGGGTTGGGGAATTTCGCGGCCTCGGTTCTAATGTAAATGCTGCGCTCTGCGAGGGTCCTGGCCTTCCTGGGGGCTCGGGGCCTCCGACAGCTCGGTGGCGTGTGGCCGCGGCCCGGTCAGAGTTGATGCAAAAGGCCTTCACGGGTACCGGTATAGTACTTGCAGGTACCACATGGCTGAAATCGTAGCTTGAAGATGAGCACATCGCATTAAGCCGAGGCATGTCGGAACGAAGGGCTGTTTCGGTAAGCATGCAGCGCCAAATTGAATTTCGGGAATTTTGAAGTCCAGACCAGAGCTTGAACAGCCGAAGTCTCACTGCTCCAAGTGTGCTGCACCCCGGCGAAAACACCGAGATGTTGCGCCTGCGAGAGCAGGGAAGTGAAATCGGCCTGAGCCGGTAGGGGCTGAGCACCGCGCTGAAAGTCCGGAGGGCGTCATAATACAGTTGCTTGGGGTTCTGTGCCTGGCTGCCTTCTCAGGAAAGTGGGCCAGTACCTCAGCACGCAAGGCAAGACTTTGCATCTTCCTGAGTTCGGGTGGCGCGAGATCGAAGCTAAGCAGGCAGCATGCAGCAGGCGGAGCATCAGACCAGCAGCGACCAGGGCTTGCCATGACAGGTGTCGGGGCCAGGGATCCTTTAGTTCTGAAGCTGGCAATGCTCAGTTGATGCTGAGCGTTCCATCATAGAAGCCCGAAATAAACTCCCCGAGTCTGACTATGACCGTTGAACTACGCAGGCGATAAGTGGCCGGACGAAGTGCTTTCGGAGTGCCTGGGCACAAAGGGCACTTCTGTGGCGTGATGGAGTGATTGAGCTTCGACACAAGGGCGGAACGGAAGGCGGTTTTGCTGTTTTTTCTGGAAGTAGATGAAGCTCACTGATGAGCGGGTGCGAGGCGGACAGAAAAGCTTCTGGCGTCTGAGGCTGCGAAAGCTCCGCGACGCAATGCCCGCTGCGCCTGCGCACATCACCCGGTGGACGATCAAGGCACTTCTTAACACGAGTCGATAAATTGTCAGACCGAGCCTTGCAATGCAACCATAAGACAAGTCCTCGGCGACGAAGCTTTGAGGCTTCTGCAGCTGCTTGTGTGATCGCGGCATCTCCGAATGTCCGATCTTAGTCAGAATGCAGCTGTTGGCATGTTACGCAGGAAGATCTGGGCCAGCCAGTCGAGAAGCTCTTCCGGAGCTTCGAGGTTTCAAGTGCATGGGCGCGAGAGCTTTCACGATATTTGCGGCAACTCTCGAGCTTCTCCGGGCAAGGAGCAGCCAATCGCCAGTGCTTCCATTGGCCAAGTGCACAAGGCGCGCTTGTCGGGACAGTTGAAGATATCCTCAAGCTCAGTGCAAGAGCCGATTGATTGGCTACCCTCGAACCTCACCCGACGAAGTCGGACGTCTAGAAAGCAAGTCGATCTGGAGGCAATCCTCCATGATGGTCGTCTCGTGGCCGTGTCGCTTGGCACGTTTGCAACTCATGCTGATTGCACTGTCATTCGGCCAGCACCCACTTGGCAAACCTGGGCTGGCCGGATCGATGCAGAATATCTGACTGTCGTAGCCAGCATCAAAGAAGTGAGAAAGCAGAAGTAAGTATACACAAGACACGGAGCTGGTCTCAGCGAGTGTTCTCGTGGCATCCTGCTGCACGGATACCTGTGTCTCTCTTCTGCGACGCTCGATAGGAAGGTTCAGCACCGCCATGCTGCGAGACAAATTCCGATTGATCCTCGCTGCGGCATTAATGTCATTCACTGTTGTCGCTGCGCCGGACACGTATCTAGCTGTCTGGCGGTGTCGTTTCCATAAGAAGGCTGGAGGTGTGCGGCCGGAAGACCGTCTTGTAGCTTTGTAGGTCGGTTCTGAGGGTTTCCCGAACTGGAGGCTCGATTGGTTAGGGTGTTGACACTTGACGATTGGGCTTCTTCCGCAGGCATGGTGCAGTTGTGTGACCATGGCACACCCTCCCGGAAAGCAATGAAGTCCTGGTCGAAGAAACGGACCACAATGCTTCATTTGTGTTGACAACCAGCTTGTCAAGTCGTTTGTCAGGATGTGGCCTACATGCGCCTTCTGGCAAATTTGGCTTGGTTGCTGACGATGGGCGAGGTGGACTTGATGCCAGTGGCACCTCGGCAACTCTTCGGAGAGGGCGCTTGTGGAGTATGTTCTTCAAGGTTGCTGCTCGTCGGATATGCTGCTAAGTTATGTTGCTGTTCATGGCTTTGTCTTGTCAGCCACCTGGGCCTTGGCCGGAAAATAAGATCACGCCGCGCCATGCTTGACGGCATAATGATGAATGATGCAGTCGTGATTTCCCTTTGTGTTGCGGTATGCAGACAGGTTGTCGAGTGGCTGGGTGCCGTGCTGGAAGAGTTAGACTTCCAGAACGAAGCGAAGAACCAGACGCTTGGTTTGGGCTTGACAGAACAAGCAGCTTCCAGCCGTCGCCTGACACCGTCCCCTAAACGTGATCTCCTGCAGGTCATCAGCCTTTCCTGCGATTTTCCTGCAAAAAACCAGCAGGGCCAGGGTCTGCTGTCTGAGCCTCGCCGAGGAGCCGGGGCCGCTCGGAGCTCCAGGCAGCTGGCCTCGACATCGCCACCTGCCATCACCTCTTCACCTACCCCATCCTTTCTGTTTTTTTTTTTGGTGTCTGGGTCTGTTCGTGCCTTTCCAGTGCCAATGTAGTGATTTCGAACCCTAAATTCGGGTGCTTCTCTGTTCGAGTTTCATGCGTAGCCTTCATTCCCAGAATCGGATCGCTTCGAAACAGCCATAGCAAACATCTCCAAAAGGAGCTTGGGGGGAGGAAGCCCTCGTCGCATGAAAGTAGAGCGAGAGGCCTTGGTTCTGTGATTCAATGCCCTGGCGCTGCAGTGAGGTAGTGCCTGAAGTCTATGAATCCCTTTGCGGCCGGCGTGTGCTGGTCATGGAATTTGCAGGGAGCCAAGACCCGCACTGGCAATGCATGAGTTGATTTCTGTCGCATTGCGTCCCGGAGTCCTAAAAGCCAGTAAAGCAGCGTTTCGTTTCGGTCCGTTTCGGTTTTTCAGATGGGGTTTGATTCGCTTTTTCGGTTCGCGCGGTTCTTCCTGCGATTCGGTTCGGGTCCGGTTTGGTTAACCCATCCCTCCATCCCCCCTCCATCCATCCAGCCCTCCATCCATCCTCCATCCATCCGCACCCCTGTCCAGCCTTCTCTCCCTCCGAACCGTCCATTCAGCGAACCCCCCTCCATCCACCAGCCCTCCATCCAGCCAACCCCCCTCTCCTTCCACCAGCCCTCCCCAGCCAAACCCCCCCTCCATCCACCAGCCCTCCATCCAGCCCACCCTCCTGGCTGGATGGGATGGAGGGCTGGTGGATGGAGGGGGGTGGCTGCATGGAGGGGGGTTGGCTGGATGGAGGGCTGGTGGATGGAGAGGGGCTTTCTGGATGGAGGGCTGGTGGATGGGACTGGCTGGATGGAATGCTAGTGGATGGAGCGGGGTTGGCTGGATGGAAGGGGCTCTGGATGGAGGGATGGATGGAGGGGGGGGGCTGGATGGAGGGGGCTTTGGCTGGATGGATGGAGGGCTGGTGGATGGAGGGCGGCTGGCTGGATGGAGGGCTGGTTGGCTGGTTGGCTGGATGGAGGGCTGGTGGATGGAGGGGGGGGTTGGCTAAATGCGGTTTGGTTCGTTTCGATTTTGTCTGTAGGTTCAGCGGTTCGTGCGGTTCACAGGGGTGGACGGTTCCTGGCGTGTCGGTTCCGGTTTGCGGTTCGGTTCGCGGCCTTCCTGAAAAGCAAGGAATAGCAAGGACGGTTTCCGTGACATAAACTGGCATGAACGGTTTCTTCTCTCATTGGCTGGCATGAATCTGTGAGCGCACGGTTGCCACTTGGTAAAGCAGATCTAGTCGTAGCAGTCGTGCGCACAAATCGTGTGGATCTGACAACCCAGTTCCTGAGTCTTGCGAGGGGAAGGAATGTAATTGCTTGGGTGTGGATTGTCCCGCAACTTTCCGAGTGCCTCAAAGCAGAGGGTAAAGGGTCCGTGACAGACCCGCGAAGCCGTGAGCAAAATGTGGGAGGGGAAGCAACGCGTTGTCCTTTTCTGCATCTCCACCCTGCACGGCTAGTCATAGCTGACGTAGATCAAAGATGATAAAAGACGGTTTCGAGAGTCTCCTGCATCTTTAGCAAGAGGCGATCAAGCTTTCGTCAGCATCCGATATGCAGACGTCGTTGCAGAGCCGCTTCGTCCCCTTTTCCCCTTACGCTCTGTCGGAGGGTTTGTTTCTCAATGCCTCGAGAGGTCGAAGGCCACCAGGTGACTGCGGGCGACGCATCGCTGTCAGCAGCGGAGCGCCTGGAGGTTCCAAAGCTCTGCACGTCCGACTTGCATTTTTTGGGGTTCGGGTCGACAGCGGCGTACTTTTGCATGGGGTCCTTGGTCAACTCCACTAGCGTGCGGTTCATGTTGAATTGTCTCGGTGCCCATCAGAATCACTGGAAATCGGATTAGATGCTGGGTCTCCCTGGATCGAAGTTGCAGGTCATGACATCCCTGGTCCGAGCCTATGCGCACGGACTTTTTGTATCGGGCCACTTCAATGGCGATCCACACGCCACTTGGTACATAGTCAGAAAGTTCGCAAAGTCTGGCATACGGAATATAGTTACCCTCTGGTAGCCACTCTGGTATCCTCTGGTTGATACCCAAGTACGTCTCGACAGCCTTCAAGCCTTTTCCTCATGTGTTTTGTACACGAACACTGTTGTGCCTGCAGACCTGAGGCCGGCAATCTCTTGGTGACGCGCAAAAATGGCAAGGCAAGGCCGGAGGGCAGCGCAACCGGCTGCACGAACTTTGCCTGCTTGTCGTAGTTACTTGACAGCTTGAATACACTCAGCAAGGATCGTAAAGGAAAGCGCACTCTCGTTGCTATGTCGCTACAGGGCAGCATGGGCGGAGATTCAGAGGCTGCTTCCTGCGGCTCTTTACTGCAAGTTTCAAGTCGCGCTGTCCCTCTCGGTCCAGGCTCAGTGTGTTCTTCTGGCGCCCTGGCACATCTTGAATTCCATATATGGTCGAGCGGCAAGTCACGCAATGTCCCCAATGTTCTTTGTTTCGACACTCTTGTGCCCGCCTCTTGCTACAAGGACTGGGGCCTGACGAAGGAGCTCACCAATCAGCGCCGGCTCGCAGCTTGCAACGTGGCCCTCGTAAGGTTAGGATGGACAAACCCAAACCCTCTGTGATCGATGCATCCGCAAAGTTCTTCAGCCGGCTTGTGCACATTCCCAAAATCTTGTAGCCGAGCTTGGCAAGGGCTGATGCGAGGCATGGTCTTACACATCCATATTTTGAATTTTAAAGCATAACACACTGACACACACACACACATATACACAAACACGCACGCACAAAGAATCATACGTCATACAGATATCATATACCCACGCATGTGTGCATGCGTGTGCGTACGCAGGTACGTGCGTACGCACGCAGCTACGCCGCATGTTATTCAGGCATGCATGCAGGTCTTCACATGTTTGTATTGCATGTATGTAAGTATGTTTTTCCGTCCGTCCTTCCGTCCGTCTGTTTGTCTGTTCTGTCTGTGTGCTGTCTTCCTGTCTGCATGTCTGACTGTCTGTATGCCTGCGGGCGTACCGCATGTGAGGGATGATAAAAAGCCCCGAGAGCAGTTTTTGCGTAGATGCGTCCGTAAGTTGAGAGCAATTAAATTCCTTGTAAAACGATACGAGTAAAAGAACGTCCCAAAGTCATCCAAAGTCCCGTAAACGAATAGAGAAAGAAAGCACGATACCCAAATCAAGGGTCAAGCAAATGGAAAGGGTTTTCACTCAACCTCATGTGCATTTCTCCTTGAGGTAAGCTCATCGTGGCCGTGGGCATGAAGGACTCGTTGTATGTTTGGTGACCCCAAGAGTCCGCACAGCACCTGCAACAATCTGCGACACTCATCAACACTCTTGAAGCCTAGCGGCAGTTACGATGTAGGCCCAGCACGGCTCGTTTTGATTCGTCGGCCTGATGTTGCCAGTCCTTCCAACGAGCTCCCAACCAGTCTTCGTTGAGTCAGCCTGCGGCATGTAGGACACCAACGGCATTGTGGAAGCCTTCAGGGAGATGGGAGATTTATCTGCACATTTTGGAGCGAAATGGTGAACCGGAAGCCGTTGTCCACGCAATCAGTGGGGATGGTACAATGCTCGCAAGCGAGCTGCAAAAATGTTTGTATATACCTGATGTCTGTATATGTATGTATGTATATATGTATATATATATATATTTATATATATATATATATATATATTTATATGAATATATTCTGCCTTATGCGTCTGTGTGTGTGTGTGTTTGTTGGGGGCGGGGGGGGGGGGGCAAGGCGGCGAGGAAAAGGGATTCGGACGGAAATGATTTGCAGCTGCACTTCATTCGTGACTCAGGAATGAATTTTTCTGCAAATGCGGACCCGGAGCCCGAACTCCTTTTGACAATCCTCCGGCACATCAGCTTGATTGAGCACAAGACGGAGTCGAGGAGGCACAGACATTGGGGAGTGCTTGGAAACTATTTCGCCAGAGCAAGGGGCTGTCACTAGTGGTGGGCTTCGGAGGGACCCGAGAACGGTGCAGGATCGAGGCCAAATTCGGCCAGACGATGGAGAAGGCAATCTCCCACAAAATGGGGTTACACTCCAAGGCCAGCATACCGAAGATCTCATCAACAAATCCTCTAGCAGAATGTAGTTTTGGATAGCTCTCCTCCAGGTGGACAGCTACACCGGTGATTTTTTCTTTATCTTCCGTGTCGCCTCGCTGATCAAGGCCCTCCGGTCAGTATTGTGCTCAAAGCTTGCAAGATTTGCCATGGCGTCACCAGGGTTTGGCGACAGTGTTGGACATCCGGGCTCAGTGCCCTGGCTGCCTGAGAAACCACGGTGCTGCAGCGAGAAAAACGTGAGAAGGTAGCAAGTTTGTAGCGAAGCGAAGGTTCTCCCATTCGTGGTTTCAGGTTCCTCGAGATCTTCATCGAAGTCAGTCGCGGCGTACTTGCGGGACCCCGCCCTCGACCAGCCCCGCCATTGGCCGTGCACAGCAATACAGAGGCCGAGCGAGCCATCAAAGCTGACGTTTTTTTGCAATGTTTTCTTGAAAGGGTCCTTGAGGCACAGGCTGGGCGAGCTTCTTCCACAAGATTCAGTGCTCGCAGGCACGCCTTGCCCGCGAAGCGCAGCGAGCGCTGCAAAGCGGGGCCGTAGGCCAGGTATCAGTCATTGGAGAATTTGTCCAGGTTCCGGTTTCGGTGAAATCTGCAGCGGTAACGAACTATGAAAGGTTCGGTTCGCCTTCAGGAGGTTTTCCCGACAACTCCACAACTGCTTTCCTGAAAGATGCATCTCCTCCATGAAAAGCAAGGTTCTTAGGCAGGAAGGACATGGCCATGGTTTCCAAGGGTGTCGTGGTCGGAACGGTATGATGCAGAAAGCTGCAAACATCTGTAAATCGTCCGCTCAGCATCGGCTCTGTTTGTATAGGCGAGTCACGGGAAGTAGCATCGTTCACGAAAGCAAGTGCAGCGTGAGCCTATTGACAATCTTCAAACAGATTACGTGAAGCTGAGCGACTTAATGCTCGCGGTTGGATACACTGTGATGCTGGGTCGATGCAACGGGCTCGCAGCCGGGACGGAATGGACATTGGCCTTTCTTCAGCTTGCCGTAGATGGATTGGTTTGGCATTTTGCACCTCCCCGGTTTTACTGTGGAGCATGCACTTGTGGTGCTTGGTAGCACATGATGTGGTCAACCGCTCCCCAAGGCGGGCGCCACCAAAGTCTGCAATAGCTAGACACGGCCTCTCGTTGGAGAAAGCAGCACATGTGAGTGGAGTTCCTCGACCGTTGAGTTTTCTCCTCCCTCGCCGAAGGCGCTGCAGCAACGAGCTTCAGCAATATGTCTTTGCAGAGGATGTGAAGAAACCCAAGGAGTTGGGGCATGACTGGGATGCGAGTCGCACGATGGCAGATGTACTGGCAAAGGCTGATGGCTGGCTTTACGAATCAGCGGCACGCTCTCCGCTGCTTGCCTTGTGGAAGCCACGAGGCGTTATCACGACAATGTCCCCGCAAGAGCCGAAGAACTTGAAGCAACTCCTGGAGTCCTTGCCTCAGCTGGACTGGCCAACTGACCGTCCACCACAGCATGTCGGTCGACTCGACAAGACTACTTCCGGGCTTCTTCTGCTTACCGACAATGGGGATGTGAGCCGGATATTGCGGGCGCCCCAGGGCATTCGCAAAACATACATTGCCACGGCCACTTTGCTGCGAATAGCTAGGTTTTCATTGAAATTGTGGCAGTTTTGATCTTATCGTGGCAGGTGTAGATGTTGCGCCTGAGGCAGTAATGTGAACAGTGAACAACAAGATCTGTTGAACAACATGAGGTGAACAAACCATCTGCCACACAAGAGCAGCTCCGACGGCTCGAGGACGGTAGCGATGCTGAGTCTAAGGTTTACAGCTGGAGAGTCGGCCACTTTGGCCAGACGCGTCTTTCTGCATAGAATGAAGACTTGCTTTGCCCTTCTCTCGTTCAGAGCCTTTGTGGTTGGAGCTCGTGAGGATGGCGTTGACATTGGGGAGGGTCCGCCTGCCCGAGCTCTCGCCGCTGCGATCGTGGGCGAGGACGACTCCGAAATTTTAGCTACAAGTAGCACAAGAACGAGTCAGCTTCAACAGCCTTAGGGGCAGCCGCATTGAAAGGTGCATCTTCGATTCAATCTTGTTCGCTAGAGATCGTTTACGGAGTCTCTCTCTCTGTGTGTGTGTGAAGCCAGGAGCTGGTGTGCCGGGGACCACACTGCAAGCAGCCAGATCTGCCGGCGATGGCCAGGAAGGTGAAGATCAAGGCGGGTGTGAGGAATGCAGCAATACAACAAGCAGTGTTTGGAGGGGTCTTTGTGTCCGGGGACTCGCAACTGCAAGATCTGCAAGACACCGAACAGAAGCCGGAAGCTTACAACCGACGGTCTGAGGCTCTTGATGCCCAGACTCCTCATGCAACATGCACGTGCCAGTTTACCATCCGGAGCGGTCGAATATTGGGGCAATGTGCAGCATTACATGACATCGGTGGCCAAAGCTACAGACAAGACTCGGAATCACGACAGTGTGCTGTTGCTGACTTGTCACGACAGTGTGCTGTTGCTGACTTCATCAAGGCTTGCAACAGTTGTCTTGAACGGATGTTTCGACCATTACGAACGCGTCTCGTTGCTTTCCGGTTCCGACAGGTGGAAATTGACGAGGGCAGGAATCGCGTCGTGCGGAGGACTTGTCCCTAGCCGAAGGGTAGAGTTGAACTTCAACTCTTTGAGGGTCGTGTGGATTTCAGGATTTGGGACGGCAGCGAAAAGGGCAATGTGAGAGTTCCTGAGACGATTGCAGCAGCATCATGGGCGGACAGGATGTTCGATGCCGTGGGCCTCCCGTTGCGGAGCCTCCATCGAGAGGCAATCGGGCAACTGGGCTGCCGCATCTTGGACGTACTACGTAAACTGGAACCCAAAACCTGAAACCGTAATTCTCCCGAGAGCCTTAACCATTGAACCTTAAGCCGTGAACCCTGCTGATTCAACCCAACGTTTGTTGGTGATCGATTGCAGTGGGAGATCTGCCTGTCTTCCCAGTCAACTCGAGCAGTGTTTCACGGATAGGAGGCTGAATCTCAGTGGTCCTTTGGCGAGAGCATGCCTTTCGCCTAGGTCAGTTGGGCTTATGCAGCCCTGGCAGTGCGATGCAGGCTCCTTGGCGGAAGAGGCTCGTTGTTTGTCGGCCGGATCATCCGAAGTTTTGTCCATTTGCGACCAGTATTTCTACTGGTAATGTGTATGTATATACTACATAGTATTGTCGTGTATATATATATATATACACATACAATATTCTCTCTCTCTCTCTATATATATATATACATATGCACATACATACACATACATGCACGCACATTCACACATACGGACATGCATGTAGAAATACATACATACTTACAAACATACATACATACAGAAAGTGTCGCGCTACAGGCCCGAGTTTTGAAGCTTTCTAGTTTCACACCACAGGCGCCAGCCCTTGCTCAGTACAACCAAGGTGCCACCGGGCCAGGTCCTTGAATTGCTGGCCAGCAGCAGTGCTTCAAGCGGCGACCGGTGCCTCGATGAGAGAAGAGCTGGGACGAAACGTCGTACGTCACGCGAGACAATGTTGCACACCACAGCAGACACTACAATCACTACAAGTGTGTGTGTGTGTGCATATGTATGTATTCATGTATGTATGCATGTATGTATGAATGTATGTGTATGTCTGCCTTTTTGTGTACCCATGTGTATAGCCACGACATAGTCAGCTTATGGGCCGGAGGGAGACGACTCTTCGCCTTGACTGCGCGCTCGATGATGGGGCTTTAAAGGCTTGCCGGCGTCGCCCGACAGTACCTCAATACTGAAGACCCGTCGGAGATCCTAGTTCACGTTAGCACACTTTGGACCCCGAGTCGTGGAGCCATAGTGCAGCCACATGCAGCCACAGAGGTTTCGCTTTGCAGCTCGAGGCTGTGTGAACGATCTTGAATGTGCTTGAAAGGGTTTCCAAGCTCATGCATTGATGCTGAAGCTTATAAGTAAAATCAGTTTGATAGACACGTCGAAAGTCCTGGGCACTGTGGTTTGCTTTTGCGCGAGGCAAATGCACGGGCGGGCCATTTACAATGCATTGCGCCTTGTCATGACCTTGGCATATGTTTTCTTGGCAAGGCTGGAGCCTGGCAACGATAACTGCCTGCTCTTGCGCTGTGACATTTCCGAGCCGAAGTGAAACGGTGTTTGCTGGATTGTCGAGTCCAGTGTAGTCCGTCGTCGCAACGTTGCAAGATGTTGCAAGCATAAATGTCTGGCCCCCAGCATGAGACGGAAATACATGGAATTGTAACTCTTATTGATTTGGTATTCGATGCTGGAGTAAGCGGACTTCGGTGACGACTCCGTCTCAGTTTGCAGATTCATGTCCGTTGAGACATGGGCAACACAACACAAACAGGCACGAGCGTCACGAGTAAGAATGCACAAGCCATGCACAGGCGCTGCGGCAGTCTTCTTTGCAACTTGCGCCGCGGGGGAGCTCGGGGCTTACAAGAGTGAGCGAGTGCAGTCAACAGCCGGTGCGGAGAGAGGGGAATATCGGGAATCATCCTTCGAGGTGCGACCACTACAAGCAAGGCGGCTGCGCAAATGGCTGGAATCGAGTCGTAGCAGCAGACTGACTGTCCTTCCGGACACTTTGCAATGGCTTTCCGAGTTGAAGTAAGCTTCATTTCTTGAGCTATTGTTCGATGGCAAAGGCCGCAACAATCTGAGGAATTGGACTCTTGAGGGCCCTTGTCTGGCGCCGTTCCGGCAACTTTCCGGCTCCCGCGCCCTTTGTGCCTGCGAGGACCTGATGACGCTTGAAAGTGCCTCACGCTGAAAAAGTTCCACATGTGTGAGACTTCTGCCAGTGCCTCGCCAGGACGAGGGATCGTCTTGGTCGATGGCACCTTTGCCATGCGTGTCGAAGCAAAAAGGATGCATATCGTGTCAGTGGACGTTTTTGGATTCAGCTCGAATCGTCCGAGCACAGGGGCTTGCAGATCAACTCAGAAACTTGAGCCAGTACTGAAACTGGAGGCATCCAAATTGCCAGAGTCAGCCGCGATGGCTCCACGATTCTCAACTTAGCATTCGGCCTGGGCCTTGGCTTCCGGGGCTTGCCCTGCAGTACATCTCCTTCGGTGTGTTTCGGGGTGTGCTCCCCTGGTTAATTAGGTGGTGCGTGGTCTCTCGCTTTTGTTGGGCCGATGCTAACACAAGTTGGCTCCAGACTTGCAGCAAAGGCGCTGTATTCATTCGTGCCAAGACGGGAAAATCCTAGCTTGGGTTTGGTGCAGAGGCGGCAATCCCCTGCAAAAAGTGAGAGACTCCTAGCAGCTACCTGGATGAGGTTTCGCACTGAACAACCCCAGAAATCTCGAAGCCCGACTCGTGGACCTCCAGACGATTCGATCATATCAGCCGCAAGGCCACGTCGCTTACACCTCCTGGCAGCCACTCCATCCAACTGATGCCTTTCCGCAACTCAGATGCAAGATCAAGGAGATCTGGAGGGCTGAGGGGAACAAGTTGTGATGATGATGCATGTCATTGTCATGCTCACTTCTGCGATTTATGCTTTCTTGGTGGGTGCTGTTTGTATGTGTTTGTGCCCACGCAATCCTCCAGCATGCTTACTACACCACAGCAACTAGCAACTGTAGTAGCTGGAGTAGCCGTCGCGTCAGCAATTGTCGATGCCATGGCTGCAAACGCTCCTGCTGTTGCTATTGCAGATACCTCTGCGGCGTATTTGTTACCACCAATGTGACGGTGACTGTTGCTAGATCAAACCGTTTCTGCTGTTTTTCTTTCGAAGTTAGCTACTTCAGTTGGTCTCATCAGTCGTTGTTTGGTGCCCACTGCCTTCACACGCTCTGGGAGCCGCTGAACTTCTGGGACTGTGTGGTCTGAGGCTTCACGGCACGGCTTTCATGGCGACCTTGGTCACGGCTTCTACTGCCCATGCGCTGCGGCAGAAAGGCACATTGAGCCAGGGTGAGCCAGTGCTGGGCGGGTTGGCCAAAACGAGTCTTCTGCACATGCAGCAAGACACCAATCGCAAGTGATGACGAAGCATGAGTGTGCCAACAACAAATGTCTAACGCATATTCCCCAAGCTTCTGTGACGGGTGAGGATTCCAAATGGTAATGCAGTGATCGGCTGTGCCCGTGGGTTTGTTGGCTGGGACATTAGCCGCATGCCGGAAGCATTGTGCTGCACTGTGCTGGATGCCAAGCTTGGCAGTAGTGACGGGTCTTGCGAGGGTTGACAAGGTCTGCACGTCGTTTGCAATGGCTTCGAGCCATGTTCGGAAGGTATCTCGCTGTCTGCGCCCGTGGCATCCCTTCTGTGGACAAAGTTCCCAGCACCATCGGGGACCACGGTGGTTACTTGACCTTCAATAGTTTTGGCTACTTGCGGAATGAAGTAGCAGCGATTCCGGACAGCGCAGACTCTGGTGTTTGAGTTTGACCGCTCATCATTAGTTTGAGAAACCCCGGTGCACTCAGTCCTTGTTCACCCTTCCCATGCCCAGCGGAACCCGGCTTCCATAACCAGCGTCCAAGGGTGAAGTCGTGCGCGGTGCAGGACCTTGGAGTCAGGTGCGCTGGGCAACACTGGGGCTATGAATTCCTAAAAGGTGCAGTCAATCAAACTCTCAAGAAACAACATCACCAGCGCTTTAGATGGTGTGTCGTTGGCGGTACTTCGAGTTTGGACTGCTTGTGGTAAGTCAAGCTTTGCAGTCCGTGAGCAGCACAAGATTCCTGACTCAGACACAGCCTGGCGGCGATTTCTCCAAGAACCTGTCATTGTCATCCGCACAGGCACCAGCTGCGCCAAGCGCCAGGCGTTTGGCAGATCTTCAGGAAATGCTCAAGTGGCTAGAGACGCTCGCAGCAAGTTGGTGTCAGTTTGAGCAAACGATATTCCGATTCCAAGCTCCAAGTAAATGGGGTAATGTAGGCTGGAATATATCGGAAGCCTGAGTAAGACATTGTTTCCACAAAAGATGACGTAAGGTTAAGGGGGCGGGGGCTAGGTTCTTTGTGTGTGTGTGAGTGTGTGTGTGTGTGTGTGTTGTGCGTGTTCGCACTCGCTTGCAAGGCGCCCTCGCCAGAAGTACCGACCAATTCTTGCATGGTTTGCGATATAGAATCCTATAGACTCACAGCTGTCATGGAGAGAGGCCGATACACTTGATCTTCGAATTGCGCATGATCTTGTATCACGTGCCGTCACCTATTATACGACATGGGAAGCATAAGAAGAAGACGATAGCACCCTTAAGTTGCCGCTACCGTCCACGCGCCTACAGGCAACTATAGAGAAAGCTGTTCCACTGAAAGAAGCCGATTGCATCAATGCCGCGCCTGTTTGTTGTTTGCTTTGCAATGGGTAGCACAGCAAAACACCATTGAACCATTCGGCAGCACAGTTTGTAAGTAAACCGTTCTCAAAAAATTGTGCTGTCGAGCCGCCGTTCGCTGTCCTCATCGTCGGAAAATTCAGCGGTTCGACAGCCCTAAATTTTCTCAGACGACACCCTTCCAAACATTTGGTGATATTCAACGGCCCTTCGCTGTCCTTATCAGACTAGCACCCCCTTCGGAAGATTTGGTGCTATCGAACCGTCCCTGCTTGTTGTTTGTATTAGATACCACAACGGTTCGATAGCACCTTGTCTTAGAAGGAAACCCTTCGGAAAATTTGGTGTTATCGAATCGCTGTCTTCAGTTATGGAAAACGCACCGGTTCCATAGCACCAAACTTTCTGAAAGAAGATCCATCGGAAAGTTTATACCATCGAACCGCCCTTCGATGTCCTCATTTTCCGAGAACGCAGCAGTTCGATACCACCCAAGTTTCTGAAGCGACACCCTTCGGAAGTTTTGGTGCTATAGAAGCGCCCCTGATAGTTGCCAGTAGTTGCAATGGATAACGCAGCGCAGCAGTTCGGCAGCACCCAATGTACTGAAAGAAGACCCTTCGGAAATTCAATCCACCCTTCGTTGTCCTCATTCTTGGAAAACGCAAGTTTCTCTTTCTAAGGAACCCTTCGGAAAATTTGGTGCTATCGAACCTCCCCTAGTTGTCTTCATGTTCGGAATATGCAGCAGTTCGATAGAGCCAAATTTTCTCTGACGACACCCTTTGCAAAATCTGGTGCTTTCGAACCGCCCATGTTTGTTGTCCGTGTTTGTAATGGATTACACAGACCAGTTTGCAGAATTTTGTGCTATCGAATCGAACCACTGTCCCAAGTTTTCGGAAATGTAATGGTTCGACAGCACCGAAATTCTCTGGAACGACAGCCTTCGGAAAATTTGGCTCTATCGAACCGCTCCGGTTTGTTGTCCGTATTTGGTCGATACCACCAGTTTGAAGGAAACCCTTCGACAAATTTGGTACGATCGAACCGCTGTCTTCAGGTTTTTGAAAAGGTAACGGTTCGATACCATCAAGTTTTCTTAAAGGAAGCCCTCCGCACCACCCCTCGCCGTCCTCATTGTGGGAAACCGCAGCGGTTTCATAGCACCAAGTTTTCTGAGGGAACCTCTCCGGAAAATTTGGGGCTATCGATCTGCCCCCTGTTGTCTTCAGGCTTGGAAAACACAGCGGTTCGATACAACAACGGTACGTGAAAGGAATCACAGCGTTCTGTTTTTTTGCTCGTCAACTGACAAAATAGGGAAGATACCATGGTGGCCTGTCCGACTCACCAAATTAAGGGAATGTATAACGGGAAACAGACGGTTTTTCTCAGCTGAGGGAAGATCTGAGGGGAAAACCCATGACGGTTTAGGAGAATCGGTAAGGGAAATCTACACCAATTGGGTGAAATTAGGGGAGTTTTTTCAAGGGAAAAAGGGAGCCAGCCAAACTCGAAAGGGAGTCGTGGAGAACTATGGCGTTCCGAAACGAACACATCGAGGGAATTTCCCCTGAGAGGGCGTCGGGGGCGGGTCCCCCCCAATTGTTGAAACTTTAAAAGCTTTGGACATCATTGAAACGTTTGAAACCCTGTCCACCCTCATCCCGTACCTGTTGAATCTTTCAAAACTATAGAAACTATTGAGGCAATTGAAGCTTTCAATGGTTTCAACAGCTTTACAGTTTCAAGAGGTTTGAAAGTTTTGGCATCTGCCTGCCCACCCACATCCCGAAAACTATTGACACCTTTGAAGACCTGCCCACCCTCACTCCGTACCTTTTTCAAACTTTAAAACTATTCAAAAAGTTGAAACTATTGAAACCGTGCCCACCCCCATCCCGTACCTTTGAGACTGTTGAAACTGTCAAAACTATTGGCTGTTGAACCCGCATCCCGTACAATCTTTGGAAACTTTCAAAAATATAGAAGCCCTGGTCACCCTCTTTCGAAAATTGCAACAGTTTCAATAGTGTTGAAAGTTTCGATAGGCACGGGATGAGGGTGGTCAGGGTTCAACAGTTCTGAAAGTTTCAAAAGCTTGAGAGGTGTCAAGAGCCACGGGATCAGGGTGAGCATGGTTTCAATAGTCTGAAAAGTTTCAAAAGCCACGGGATGCGGACAGTGTAGGACGTCAGTCTAAGCACTTGACGCAACAGAAGCGTCACATAATACATAAAGGTTTCTCTTACGTATATGTAGCTGTAGAAGTAGAAAAGTGTGTGTGTGTGTGTGAGCTAGTATTCGCGAAACCTCATACAGCAAGTCTTGTGCTACAAACGGGATGGGACAACCGGCGTGATTCAATAAATCAGAGTGAATATTCGTCCAATCACGTGCAATAGCCTCACAGCCGTTCGGTTTTCCATGCACCCAACTACGAAGTTTGCATGCAACAAGGTGGGTGTTGATGTCCTGAATGTTTACAAATCTGCCAAGACCAAGCACCCATGCACACACACATAGCAGCCAGCATCCGTCATTTCATGCAGGGATCCAAGTTGGCATGCCCGATACTTGTGCTTGAATAACTTAGGACTGCGCCGCCTGCAAGTGGCTCGTGCCCTTCCTGGTCGCGGAGACGCATTTTCATGCATCGTACCCGTTTTCTGACTTAGTCCCAACATCATAAAGAAACCAATGCTCCTGCAAAACTCTTCCCTTCAGCGCTCTCGTGGACGCGATTGAGGGTGCACTGCCTCTGAGAAGTTGTCTGACTCTCGCGCTGCATTGTTTAGGTGGCCAGCCACCGCTCATGCCACGGTCTGTGCGGCATTGCTTCGCAAGGTCGGAAGGACACCTAGCCTCAAGGCGGCAGTTGGTCCCGCTGTATGCCGTGAGGATGCTTCGAGAAGGAAGTGTCGAAGAAGTGACTCATGAGAGGAAGGAGCTCCATAGGATACCGGCCTGTGCAAGCCTGAGGTGACGCCTTGCAGTCCTTCTTCTCGCAGGCCGTGCGCCCGGATAGACGCAGCCCTGCTGTCGGCTTGTCATGATGCGATACAGCTCCCGCTGAGCCGAGTCCAACTCTCCAAGACAAAGGCTGTACGTAGGAAGACTGCTCTGTCTCGAGGCATCGCGCCCCTTCTTCAAAGCTACGCAGTCTCCCATTCAGATCTCGAAGCCGATCCTGTGCCCCGGCGCGGAGTTCTGCAGTTACAAAAGCGGAGGGGGGGGGGCAGGACAGACTCAAAATTAGCACGGCCAGGCGTGGCCTTCATGCTTAGGATCTCTACCGTTCGATGCTACATGTAGACCTCCCAGGCTCTCTTTGCGGTCAAGGTTCCTTTCGGCAATCCTCAGCAAATTGGGTACAATGCCCTTCTGGCCAAGGAGTGTGGAAAGCGCAGAGGTTGAAGCCTCACAGGCCGGACACGGTGGCAAGCAGCTTCTGCAGCATGTGTGGAGAGTTTCATGTCTCTGATCGGCATGCAAGGATGCCCTGGTTGCGTCGCTCGGCGCCGATGACATGAGATGCATGCACCTTGCAGATGCCGCGGGCTTGGCCGTGCTGTAGTTGGCGGGAGGCATCTCAGAGGTGTAGTGCAAGCATGTGTAAGCAACATGCTGTCATCGGAGCTTGGCACGGCGTGGTCAGCACTTAACAGGTCAAGCGCAGAGCACGTATCTTGCACCCCCCTTCGTGAGATGTGAACTGTCAGGCTTAGGTTCCTTCTGCTGAAGAGCAAAGTCCATGCACGTCTGGAGCTGCCCGCCAACAGCCGCTCTTGCTCGAGGAGTCTCAGCTCCAGGCATTGCTTTCAGGCAAACATCGCTGTAGATTTTCATTCCTTCGAGCAGTATGGCGCGCACCATGGGAGTGGTGCCTTGGGTCCCACTGTTTTTATAATGTCTCCTCGTGTTGAAGTTCGGAGCTTGCTGAGGCAGTGCTGGCTGTGGCGGTGATGTGCTTCATGGGGAAGTTGGCCTTCACTCCCTCCCTGCCCGCAGGGTTTGGGCGGTCTGCGCAGTCGGGTGAGGCGGCAGTCCAAATGCAACCCTACTGTACAAACACGCCCTTCCAGACCATTCCCGCAGTCTCAGGCTTCCTTGCCTCCATAGCCAGAGAGATGCGAAGATGTACGAGATTGGACTCAGACTTCCGGGTTCTGCGTGACAAGCAAACTAACTAGTACAGTAGAGTCGAGAGCCCGTGTTGCTGTCGAACAAGTACTCCAGACAAGGCCAACAGGTGCCTTCTGGGCGCGCCAAGTTCGGCCACATACAATGTCTTCACCGGGATGTTCTGGGTTGGGGTGGAACCAGTGCGTTTTGTCACTCCCGTGACTGTTCGCCGCCCATATTTCCATATTAGCTGATGGCCCCATAGCAGTCTAGCCGAACCCTTGAAGCTCTACATACCCGATGGACCTCGAGAAGGCTTTTGTGTTGTAGACGGCCTTGAGCTGTCAGCATTGTGGTCCAAGTACAACCCTGCGTGCAACACCAATCTTTGGATGCCTTGCAGGCGGCGCAGCAGCGTAGCCTTACGCAGCGCCAAGCAGATGGATCCTACCTGAAGCCCTTCGGCCCGGCCGTGTCCTACGCCAAGGCAGGAAAGCCAGAGCGGAGCGTCGCTGCAACAAGCCGTGTTCCTATTCCTGTTCGCACTCTTGAGTGTGGCAGGCGCTCCGGGATGCCGGCCAGTCCAAGAGCGAGGAGCCTTTGATGCAGACGAAGTCAGCTATTGCGAGCATCTGCAAGAACGGTGAGGGGAACAGCAAGAGGAAAACAAACACGAACAGGCGTCAGGGCTAACCTGGACATGCCCGCAAAGCTGCATTCGCTTGAATAACAGCAACTGGTGCCCAGCAAAAAAGACGAATACGATGCAACAGTCTGGAAACTCATGAAGGACAGCTGTAACCGCACCGACAGTACCGCAACAACAATGCAAAGGTGCCAGCTGACGATGGCAACTGGAAGATGACGTCCACAGCATACAACATTATGGGCATGGGCAAAGCTCGCCGGTACTCTGGAATTCTCAGCAGCCCCTGCTCCAGGACGCAGCCGTGATGGCGGATATTCTGAAGATCAAGGCCTTCTATGAGGATGAGGCCACAAGCAGAAGCATGTGGCATGGAGACTCCTGCACACCAGTTCTCGCCCCTTTCTTGTTGTGCAAGGCCGTTTTCGAGGATTTGAGCTTGGTCCAGAATGCCGTTGGCTCAGACTGGATTGTTAATTCGCTTGCGGTGATCTGTCATGAGACAATCGGACGTTAAACCCTCAAACTTTCGTGGCCCTTAAAAGGTCTTGAGAGACCCGAAGAAGATGCAGAAACTTCCCTCGGTCACTGCAATGTACTGTACTAGGGTCTGTAGGATCGCAGGGTGGCAAGTCGGGTGCAGAACAGGCTTCCTGTCTTGAAGTCTCACGGGCCTGCACAGCCTTGAATTCCCAGGAGTTTGTTGGAGCCTTGATGTGTGAAGGAATCGTCGAGCGGCTAACCGTTGCAGCTGTCGTGGAATTCGTCGAAAAGACGATGCCCATGCAAGACGCGACAGTTTGAACGGAAGCACAGCTCCGGTACTCGTATCCTCACCATCAGGACTTCAACCTTACCGAAGTCGAACGCGCCGACAAGATCCTGGCCATGGTGAAGCCTTTGAAGTCCACGGTTGCGGCCCCGGAACCGGGGGAGTGCCAAGTTGCAGCAGACGTGTCTCCGGGATCTCAAAGGTGGTGCCAAAGTTCGTTCGCTTCATTGCCAAGCCCCTTGGAGTGAAGGCTGAAATCCTTCTTTAATGTGGCGCCGTGCAATTGAGTGCATTCACTTCGCTTAAGGCCTCAAGGACTTTAGGTGGTCGTTAAGAGGGATGGCCCTTGCTCGTCGGTTGGCTTTTGCGCTTTCTTTGTGTCATGACGTTGGTCGTGTGATGTGATGTCAAGCCAAGTACCCAAACCGCCAAGAGTCGCACATCTAAGGAAGATGCGTCTTAAGGGATTGAAGGCAATCTGCCTCGAGTACGTCCAGAGCGCGTACTTCAAGGACACTCCGTCGATGTTTTAACTGCTGCTCTCTTGTGTTCAGGGTCAGGTTTGTCAACATGAGTGTCGGCCAGTGGGTAAGTCAATGTGTGAGAGTGGCTAGGACATGCTAGGAAGGAGCGAATGATTTGCACATATAGGTATGTGTGTATGTACGTCGTAGGTGCATAGTGCATTTCCATTTTTGCTACGTACGCTCGTGTGTGCACTTGTGTTGCATGTTGATTGCATGGAAGAGCTGCAGAACTTCCCTGGGAACCCATTGATGCACAAGAAAGGAGTCCGTCAGCCCAGTGAAGGTCACGTCTGCCGTACGTAGCCCGGAGGCAAATCGAATCAAGCTTTCGGTTGTTGCGGCTCTTCTTAGTTTAGCTAGAGATTGCCAGCTCATCCCTGTGCGACAGTCTAACATCAAAAGGCTAAAGGACGGGTCACTTGAGTCACAAGCTACACACAGACCCAAGGTCTCACGGACGACCAGAAAAACAAGATCATTGAGAAGATGAAGGTGAAGTGCGAGACGGACAGCATCAAGCTGATCGAGGCGCTTGCAATACAACAACAGGTCGTTGATCCTGTGGTGATGGCGGAATAGAATGCCGTAGATGAGCAGACAACATCACAGCACTGTCTTGAACAGCGGAAGTGTACGCCTCCCCCAATACAAAACCTAAAGTACGTACTGCCATTAGGAGATTGATGCCAACCTCATCAGCGGCTTCAAGCTGGAGTGGGGTTCCTTGGTGGCACAAAGCTCCAGGGATCAGATTAACCGATGTCCCGATTCGGCGAAGCCGTGGTTCGGTTCTTGCCTTCTGCAATGGATGTCCCTGGTCGCCCGATAGCCCTTGTAGATCATAGGCATAAGTCGCTGCAGACTACTGCAGGGTGCCAGATTCGCCTGGCAGGATCTTCAGATTTCTTGAGAAATGTCGCGTTGCCTACGGCTGTTTTAATGAACCGGCTTGCGCATGTTGCTTGTTGAGCGGGTTCTCTTGCACTTGGGCATTGCATGCACGTTTGCACCATCCGGCTTGGCTGGGCAATGCCTATCCGCTTGCCTCACCTGATGCTGGGCGTGAGTCATCGGGTCAGGCTACATTGACCCTGTGAACCTGGACGCCCCCAGCCACGGCGTGGACCTCTCACTGCAGTGCCCCGGCTGCTCGCAGACTCCAGCAGCCCAGATGCGGATCCTGTCGAAGCTAGAAAATCCAAGGAACATCCTCAACAAGAAGGCTCTCCAGGTGGGAGGCATTGTGGACGCGCTGCGCTAAGCCAAAACGCCTTGCGGCGCAAGCGGACGGACACCGAGATCTGAGAGACTCGGGCAGCTGTGTGCCCGGAGTGAGGCCTTTGCTTGCGCATTGCGCAGCATACGTTGAGACATAAAAAGTTCATTCAGACAAGGCACAAGAATTGGTACTCGGCTAGCCGTACTGAATTGCAGGCCGTGAGGCCGCACGGAGAGGGGCCTCACCAATGTAAAGGGTACACGGATAAACCATGATAATCCCTTAATAGGAGCCGGAGGTTTTCCTGCTCAGTTCTCCTGGATACTCTTGGAGGTGGAGGAGGTGTTTTTGGCGTGAGCGCGAGTGTGGAAAAAACGGCTGTTGCATTGTCCTGCAGGATTGGGGCAAAGGTTGCGTAAGGCGGATGCTTGATGTGTAGTTTGCGCCCAGGTTTGTCTGCCCAACAGCGCTGCTCTTCGAGGGTCTGAGCTCCTCCACAGCAGTGTGACATGCTCGATCTCGCTGTCTGTAGCAACCTTACTGTGCCTGCCCAAGCATGTGCTTCAAGGCTCTCCCATGAGATCCCATGAGCATGCTCAATCAAAGGCTCTTTGCCGGCGCAGCTTCGGCAGCCAGCTTCGGAGCTGGGCTTGCCATGTCTGCAGGATGCCCAGCTCGGCAGCTGCGTTGGGCAAGCCCTTCAGGTTGAAAAGTCGCAGTGCTTAGGTCGACTTCTGGTCCCAGACGATGTTGAGCAACTCCGTCAGCTGTGCGAAGCGCTCTGCGAGTGGAGACGCCCTTGTCCAAGACTGGAAGAGGATGTTTGTTGGTTCTGCCTTGCTAGCAGACTTTATAATCACGATCCGGAGTTCACATGACTGCAGTATTCCGTTTGTTAAGCTTGATGCGATGTGGCAGCTGGATGTCATGTTTACATGTTCTCGAAGACCCATGAAGACCCATATAAACTTGTGAACCCAGAGTCTCTCAGACTCATGGGTTGAACCGTGACATGGACACATAATTAGACGATATGCATACCTCAAAAACCTCACCGACACAAGGTGGCCATCGTGCTGCTCACATGTGCAGATGCGGAATTGGCACCTCGCTTGGCGGAGTTGGCCCTTCGTGAGTGAATGCTGCAAAAGTCAGCGGCAAGATCTCAGAAGTCACATTCTGCCGCTATTGGCACTGCAAATTCGGAACACCCCCAGCACGGATTATTTGAGTTTTCGCCGGCAGTCCTTCCATGTCCTTCCATGCCAGAACTGCTGTCCCATTTTCAAGGCTCTGTGCAGAGCAAGAATCTGAACCAGGGCTGACCGTGGGATAGGGTAACCAGGACGCGATTATTCTAGGTTCGAGTTGACGTGGCTATGGTTGCTGTAGTTTCGACCCTGACTCGAGATTGCGAATGGCAAATTCTTGCGGCTGCCGTGAGATGCTGCGGAAAGCGGCAATGATAATGTTTGAGTGTGCCTCACGGCGCGGTCAATAGTACGTTAGTGTGACGAAAAGGTGTGCCGCTGCTCTATGCTGCTACTCTAATCCATTTCACATACACATAAGCTTTAGTCTTCATCGGTCTGCAGCTGGGGCCCAGAGGGGCTGGCATTGGAATCCTCGCTGAGGAGGAGCTTCAAAGTGCTACCTCACAGGCCTCCTCAGGGTCCAGTGTTGGGGAATTGCATGTGAAGCCTCGCTGAAGCCGGCCTCAAACTCATCCACTCATGCTTGCATGGCTCATGTCTAGCAAAGTGAGCGTATACAGAGACAGCGCACATCGTGACGCCTCACAGTTCACCGCGGCAGCGCAGCGAGCGCGCCGACTTAGACGAAATGCCCGAAGACCGGCGGGCGCTGCGCGAGGCCGCAGCTGTGTCTTCTGCCTGATTCAGCTTCCACGCCACAAGAATGGCCGCTTCCACCGTGCCAAGAGTGGCTGTGCCCGCTCCCTTCCAAGTGCATCACCTGCGACATTTTCCGAAGTAGATCCAACAAATCTCCACATCGGATGCTGGGGAGGCGTTGAAGCGCCAGCGCCAGCGTACCATATTGGTCGGCTTCGACTTTGTCCGAGGGCCTGGAAAGGGACTCATGCCCGTTGTTACTTTGTTTTTGTTTCTGCAGCTACAACGTCATGTGCTGCATTGTCATCAGAAGCAGTTGAACACGCTGAGCCCTTCACCCGAAGCCTACTGCTAGCTTTCTCCGAATAGCAGGCAATCCGATGCTGGAAGCGCAAGTTGATTTTACGTCGGTCGGGAGAAGCTTCGGGCCATCCTGGACATCGATGGGGACCACCATGACGATAATCGCCATTGTCAAGATTTGGGTGCACTCACGGTTCTGCTAGTGCTGCTAGTGATGGCGACGTTGCCGATGAGGTCCAAGAACAAGACGGTGATAATTATGATAAGGATGACTGGCGATGATGCTGATGTAATGTGGCGCTGCTCATCACGTTTACATTCTGCGCTTCCAGAAAAAGAGATCTTCTGAGGACTGCACGCTGACAATACGGCACTTCTACAAAGTCGGGATCCAAGGCAGCTGAAGCTTGCGAGGTGAAGGCCGTTCGCTGGGCAGCAGCCATTTCATCGGAGATGAAGACAGACTCGCAGTGGCATGGAGTCACGAGTGAAAGAAAGATGCCTGTTTGCCCAGGTGTTCGCTTGGTGCGTCCCGTACAGGACGGAGGCCCATCCTCACTACGAGGCGCCATGCTTCAACAGCAGATGGAAGGGGTCTCCAGATTTTTTTTTAGCATCCTGAGAAGTTTCATGCAGCTTCCCCGAGCTGGCCCACGTCGACGTAGCATGACGCAGCCATAGTAGTGGTCGTCGTAGCACCAGCCCCAGCAGAGTGGTCTCAGTAGCCTTGGTAGCAGTGGTAGTAGCAGTAGCAGTAGCAGTAGCAGTAGCAGTAGCAGCAGTAGTAGCAGTAGCAGCAGCAGCAGCAGCAGTAGCAGTAGCAGTAGTAGTAGTAGTAGCAGCAGTAGTGGTAGTAGCTGTAGCAGTAGTAGAAGTAGAACTAGAAGTAGCAGCAGTAGTAGTAGTAGTAGTAGCAGTAAAAGTAGTAGTAGTAGTAGTAGTAGTAGTAGTAGTAGTAGTAGTAGTAGTAGTAGTAGTAGTAGTAGTAGTAGTAGTAGTAGTAGTAGTAGGAGTAGGAGTAGGAGTAGGAGTAGGGGTAGTAGGAGTAGGAGTAGGAGTAGTAGGAGTAGTAGGAGTAGGAGTAGGAGTAGGAGTAGGAGTAGGAGCAGGAGCAGGAGCAGGAGCAGGAGCAGTCGTGCCGGTGCCAGTGGTAGTGCCAGTGGTAGTAATCATACTGACGAGTGTGTTGCCAATGCTGGCAGGCCTTCCTGGATTGGTGCGAGGAGCACGAGCTTGACCTCGGCGAGGTGCACACCTTATGATCCACCCACGTCCTGCCCATCTCATCATCCTCAACCCTCGGTATGCCTTCCAGAGCTGGGCAAGCAGATCAGACATTATTGAGTGGTTCGGCTTTGGGGAGTAGGTGGAACCTGCCCTGTTGAGTGCGAGCGGGTTCTTGCATCCTGTTTGCCGGTGACGCGGTCGCGCGACTTGGCCTTCTGCTTTCAAGCGGCGCTAGACAACATTTAGGTGACCTGGTATGGGCATAGGCATGAACAAACATCAAACAGGGATCAACAACAAACCAAACACGGATCAAAAAGAAATTTACTAGGTACCAACAAAAAACCAAAACTCTGAACTACAGTAAATTACAGTGGTTGTAGCCCGTACACACTCACAAACGGGTCTTTCTCTCGCAAAGAGAAGAAGGAAGGGAGGAAGGAGGTGGCGTGTTGAAGATGTATGCTGAACCGGAATCGCCTAATCAGGGGGCGTGTTTAAGATATGTATTATATTGATGAACCGGAAGCGCTGAATGGGGGGGAACGTTGCAAGTATATGACGTACCGGAATCGCCTAATCAGGGGGCGCGTTTAATTAATGTAGGTGTATATATATGTATATGTATATGTATATGTATATGTATATGTATATGTATATATGTGTATATGTACATATGTACATATGTGTATATGTATATATGTATATGTATGTGTATATGTATATGTCTATGTATATGTATATGTACATGTATATGTATATGTATATATGTGTATATGTGTATATGTGTATATGTATATATGTATATATGTGTATATGTATATATGTATATGTATGTGTATATGTATATGTATATGTATATGTATATGTATATGATATTATATGATATGATATTATATTTTTGTGTATGATGAATCGGCATGGCCCAATGAGGGGGCGTGATTCAGATATATGATGGACCGGAGTCGCCAAACAACGAGGTTTGCTTAAGATGTATGATGAAACGTAATCGCCAATGAGGGGACGTGTTTAAGATAACCATAGGATAAGATAATTATGATGAGCCGAAATCGCCAGAGGAGGAGGAGGAGGCTGAGGCGTGCTCAAGATATATGATGAGCCGGAATCGACAGATGAGGGCGCGTGTGCAGGGATGTATGATGAAACGGAATCGCCACAAGACGGGGCGTGTTGAAAAACAAATATATATATATATATATATATATGATGATGATCCGGAATCGCCGCCGTTGATGACACTTTGATTTGAATGGTTGATCCTCGTTTTGATTTATTGGTTTTGGTCCCAGGCTTTGATCTTGTTGAATCCTGGCAAACTTTTTTGGATCCCTCAGCCCTTTGTATGTCCAAATTGCTCAATATGTGGAGAGGCCCCCGGGAGCCAACTTCGCTCAGGTGCAATTCGCGACTGGGGTGGGTAGGGGTGTCGAGCCCGACGTCGTCCTGGCCTTGCTGGACAGGCTGCAGCCCTTGGTGTGGGCTGTGGTGAGGGTCCAGTCTTGCTGCAGCTTCGTGTCAGATGCTGGTCGTGAATGAACCTCTAATGTGAAGCCGTTTGCCGGAACGTGCAGCTGCTGCTAGTGCTAGTGTCTACGGAGGTCCGTCGGAGAAGACAAGCTGCACGAACTGTTGCGCGAGGCCGGTCATGGGTGCGACAAATCAATGTGAATGGGTATGGGCGGGAGATGTCGGCCCAGCAGAACTGCAGTTGCACGTGTCTTTCCTGGCTGATTGTACAGCTCAATAGCAGCGCCGGCAAGTCGAAGCCGTTGAGGGCATCTGGATGACCGTATCGAGCAGTGTTGTGCCTCGCTTGTGGGAATGCGGTTGTGAATCTTGTCCCCTGCATTGGCATGCCGGGAGGTCTTCTTCGGCGGTGCAGAGCGCATCAATGCCATAGCAAGTTGGTGCGCTCTTAGCCCCGTTCACGGCTCTGGCTTCGGGCTTCGAAGTTTCGGTGGGAAGAGACACAACGCGGTCGCTGGTCCAGTGTGGTTTGCCGCTGGATTTGGTTGCCTATGAGGTTTGTCCGGTAGAGTCGGGTATGCAATTTGAAAGCTAGTGAGCATTGTCAACTGCAAAGTTGTTAGTTCAGATGCCACGAAGTTCCGTGGGATAATATCCAAGCCACTTTCCGGCGGGGTTTGACGACTCATGGCGGATGTTCATCCCCATGACTGTCCTTTCTCACATGCCATTCCGGCTGCGCTTTTGATTGACAGCCTTGCTTCCTCTGGACAGGCTGCAGCAGTTGAGTCGTGCTGGTGCCGAGTACCTCGGCATCGCCGGATTTTTGCCAGGATGGTTTTAACGTATGATTCGTATGGTTCATTCGGTAACGCGTTTGCAAGCCTTGGGTGTAAGATATGGTTCTACTGCACCACCCTGCGCCCACGGAAAGAAGATTTCAAGTCGCATCTGCACGCAGACAGGTTCGCCATCGTCACAGCTGGGATCTCCACGTCAGTTCTGCGAGTGCTGAACGCCGTGCCGGAGTGGCAGTTCCTGTCTGAGAGTCGCTTCAAGTGCTGCTGCTGTAAGGCCCGGAGGCCCTTGCCATGAAAATGCTCCCAGTGCCGATGCCCAGGCCGTTCTTCCCCAGCGACCGCATTTGGGACGTGCAGCAATCGCGGCATTCTGTCCAGCCTGACCCTGTGGCGGTGCGCCTTTTTGGAAGCGAGATATCTGTAACACCGGCACATGGTACAGGGGACTACTCAGGGACATGTGCTTTTCTGCACGTGTGATGCAGATCGTGTCCTTAGTTGCTTCCTTCCCAGGTGTTTGTTCGTTTCTTCTCGTGGCTTGGAATCAGGTCAGTTAGCACCAGCAAAGTGCTGCTGCTTCGAGACATTAGTCCAAAGGCGTCAGAGGCCCAGGACTGGTAGCATGCTGTGCCTGTTGATGCATCGGACGAGGCGGCATTTTGCTGTCGTCAAGTCTCAGCACTTGCGCATGCCGGTGGCGTCGCAAGCGTAGGCAGCTTCTTTACAAACATGTGCATGACGCATGCTTTGGTCATTGCTGGCAACGCAGGCCACTCTAGCAGTGCCCGGTATGCAAATGCATAGGGCACTTCCTTGGAATGCCTGCTACAACACACCTGGCTTCAGGTTTGACCCAGCTTCTCGTTGCTTTGCGATGCTGGGATAGTCTAAGCCCGCAGTCAGCAACGACGCTGCACCTCGTGATCATCTTCTGGCGGGCAACTCTAGCAGTGTTGGCTTCAACTGACGAGCCAGCTCTTCCTATTTCAGCCTGCAAAACTCAAGGGCCGAAGTTTGACCCGGCTGCTGCCAAGCACGTGGAACTGCCGGGATAGGCAAAGCCTACAGGAGAGGTTTCAGTTTCCGGCACAGGTGATTCTCTAGCGGGGCCCTGTGCTGTGCCTACAGGCCTACAGGGTCCTTCCTATTCCGCCTGTCACAAGGTGCCTGAAGTTTGACCCGGCTGCTTTCATCATGAGCAGTTGGGATAGGAACGGGAAACATCGCACTGCGAAGATGGATTCATTCCTGCTGCTGAGCTCTGGCCGGGCCCACTGAAGGCATCATCTCAAGCCATCTTAAGCCTTCCAGTGAAACACACTATCAGATATCAGGTCGGGCATTCTACTGGTGGATGACTCGTTGCAGAAAGATCCTCCGTTCGAATGGGTGCCATTCTGAGACTTGCACGTCTTCATACGAGATTGAGACCGACACTCATGTCAAGACGTGAAGCTGCAACCGTTGGCAGACTTGGGCTCGTTTCGAGGCATGCAAGGGTGCCAAGGCCGCGAGCTTAGTTTGAGGTCTGGCAGGATCGCACTGAGAAAGCCGTATCCTGGAGAGTCTGTGAACAGGTGGCTGTGTTTGATGGCCTGCCCTACGAGGGCCCCGGGCTGCAGGAGGCGCCGGGCTTTCGACGGAGTGCAGAGAGAGAGAGAGAGGCCATCGCCACCCTGTTTCGCGGTCGAGGATCCGATGCGTGCTATCGAAGAGGAACTGGCGAAGTTCCCGTAATTCACCGGGCCTGAGTCCGCTGCTGAGATCCCCTGCGATAGGGAGGTGAAGCAGGGGACGCAGCAGGTCCATGCAGGTGCATTGTCAGGACACTCATGGCGTTGCGAGCCTGTGCCTCAGGAACCGGTGCAGTACCAAGTAAGTGGGCAATTTGTGGACAGATGTGCAGCAACCCACGGTTGCATGCCCGCAGAAGTGGTAAAGGTACTATCGAGCTGCCGCACCATCAGCGTGCACGTCCTAATGTAATGTTCCTCCATCGCGGGTATGCAGCGGATGGGCGAAGAAGTGGGTTGCGAGGATCTGAAATTCGTGTTAGGGCTCGGGACCTCTACTTGCATGCCCTGAGCAAGAATTCGGTCATGAGCAGTTCTGCATATGCAGGGGCTCAAGAATCCTTTAGCCTCTTTCCAAGGTTGGAGCTCATTAGCCAAGTAAAAGTAAGAAAGAATGATTATTGAAGAAAGACAGATCTCTCTCTCTCTCTCTCTCTACATGTATATATGATGTACAACATGAAACATATAGCCAAATAAATAAACAATATGTATATACATACATACGAGAACAAATACATCATAAGTGAATATGAGTAAATATAAATAGGTACATATCTATATACCTACATACATATATACCTATATACATACATGCACATTGCATATATGTATGTATGTATGTATGTATGTATGTGTACACATTCTGTCATGCATCTGTTTAGTTATGCCAAGATGATCCATGATTCACCTGCGCAGCGGATCTCAAGCAGGGAGGAAATGGGAGGAATGATTGCCACCAAAGAACCATCCGATGCCACGTATATCGACCTGGGCACTCCTTGCAAGGGGATCGTTGACAAGCTTACCAGCCCGGTGGTGTACCATCGCATGTGCCTACACTGGCGCGCTCGCTTCGCACATTCTTCTGATGCCTGGCATACGTAAACCCCAGTTGACCCTTTTCCTCAAACACATCCGGTTGCCCGGAATGGAGCTCAGACTGTTTCGCAGCGGTGACCGGTTGTGTCACTCCAAAAGGCGGGGAGCCTTCCGCTGGCAAATGGCTTTCAGAGTAGAGCGCGGCACAGCCACGCGTAGGACATTGAAGTGGCATCCATGTCAAGCTCCTTCCTCGGAACCTAACCCGTGGACTGAAGCCCCAACCCCAACCCCAGTCCAACCCTGACTCCTAGACTCCTGATGGCTCCTGCTTGGAAGGTGAAAGTTGGAGCGACGGTACCCCGACATAGCCAAGATGTAGCACAACACTTGTAGGCTTGACACGTCAATCAACGGGTCGCTGCCTCCTGGTTAATGGCTCCAGTGCCGCCGGTTTCACAAACACCGCGAGGGCCTCAGAGAAAGGTTCGTCCGACGGCGTCCCGCTACACGAAGCATTTTTGGTAGTTCATCATCTGCTCATCACAAAGGACGCGTTCGCGAAGCGAGCTGGAGTTGAAGTCCAATGAGCCCCAAGCTCGAGGCCTGCACCAGCCTGGGCAGGAACGCGCTTTTTTCCTATCTTTTGAGAGTTTGTGAGAGTTTGGGCCTCTGTGGAAGACTTGATACGTACAGCGAGTGACGTGGAGTGCTTCCGAAGCTTCAGGCACCGGAGGCACAGCCCCGGCCCATGTGAGCCGGGATTGGGTCTCGACGATGAAGCCAGGCCTAGGGGTCCCCTGCTTGCTTTGCCGAGACACGTGCATCTGTTCATCTACTTACGAATGCAGCATGTGTGCATGAAAGGTGTAGATGCATCTGCGTATGTGCAAGAGACGTTCTTGCATGGTTGTATGCTTGATCTCTTGTCTCGTAATGCTGGGATATTCTGGTATTCCTGTCAGCGTTTTTCTCTCACTTTATCTTTCTCTCTCTCTCTCACTCGCACGGTCGTCTGTCTGTTGCGCATTGGGCACTCACACATGCGCCTGTCCGCCACCCCGGCGTGCCCCCCCGACAGACTCTGTCGGGCTCCTCCGGCCCCACAGCGACTGACCCTTTCCGGGTATTGGATGTTGGCCAACGGCGACTCGCTCTTCTTCCGGTAAGTCTAAGTTCAGGGTTTAGGATTTCTGGCATTTTGCATTCACTCCTTCAAGGTCCAGCACGTGTGGGTTTCTGGAAAAACTCACTTCCTCTACAAGAAGGGTTTGCCAAAGGTCCAGCCAACAATTAGGTTTTTGCGTTTCTTGTAATTTGCACTCCTTTCAGGTTTGCCCATGGAATGGCACCAGTCTCGAAACTTTGGGTTTTGGGAACTGCCACTTCGTCCAACTTCCACGAGCGCACAGCCCGAGTGGAATCTTACACCAGTGAAAGACCGGCCACTGGCTCCCATGCACGGTTTTTTAGGCTCAGTTTATAAGAAATGGCTTGCCTCTCTGTTATTCGACTTGCTTTGACATCAGAATTTTCCCGAAAGCCCACGATCGTCCAGACCCGAAAAGCGGAGCAGACTGTTGGCAGAGCCAAAGCGCGAAGAGGAGCCAGTCGTTGCACAAAAACCACAACCCTAAAAGGAACTGAGAAAGGGGGTAAGGTCGCTGCCACCATGCGGCCATTCTCATCGCAGAGTATGGTGTTTCGGCACTTTAGCAATTAAGCCACGCTGCTGAACACATGGAAAGGCTTCAGGCCCTGTTTCTGACGGTGCTGACAAAGAGAGAGGAAGTTTCCACAAGGGCGCAAAGCTTACAGAAACCGGACATGCACCTCGTATGAGACTACCGTGAACCTAGGAACAGCCTACATGGACCTACATGCAGCCACAAACAATAGATGTTTGATTGTTTTAGCACATACAATTTTAGGCTTAGGCTTTCAGGTATACACTCACTCAGTATATGTGTAAACAGAAATCACATCAACGCAGATAATGTTTGGTAGCATACCATAGTTGTGTCTATATCTATCTATCTATCTATTTATCTATCTCTCGCTATATATATATATATATACACATATACATATACATATACATATATATGTACATACACAGATACATATACATATACGTATATATATATATATATATATACATATACACACAGATTATTATGTATATAGACAGTGTGTCAGTGCGTGCTTGTACGGAAGGAGATATCCGTTGGTAGCTGTTCCCCTCTCTTAGTGTAAATCCTTGGGTGAGATCCCCCACCCGGGGCTGGCCCGGACCCGCTGGCATAAAGGGTTCGTTTGGGATGTCGAGGCTGTGTTGGTATCTTGTGCTAGCGCTTCGGTACGAGATCCGGGTCTCTTCTGATGCCGATGCTGGCAGCGCGGTTTCTTTTTAGTCCTGCTGCTGATGTTCAATCGACCCCCCCATCAACCCCGCCCTCCTAAGATATGTTGGACCGGCGGAGAGCCTCAGGATCCTCGGTAAAAACCCGCCGCGGTGTAGTCTGCGAACGACTACCGTACAATAGATTGTGGGTGTAGGCCAATGTAAGCATGTCGGCATATATCGTCTTCACGTGTGCTATGTGTCTGTGTATGAACCTGAATACAAAAACATATCTGATTGCATATTGTTTGTCTGTCCCTGTTCTATGTAGCAAGCCCGTCCATCATAGAGCTTTCGTCCGAGCCCGCGGCTGTCAAGCATGCAGGTAAGTAAGTATGCATGTATGAGCAGTGTGCTCAGCCTGCTCAGCTATGGAGGCTCACGGCCTGCCTCCTCTGCAGCAGTGTCGCTCGCATTGAAACCAGGCCGGGATGGTGCAGGGAACTGACCCGATCCGACTGACTGTGTCCATCTGCGTTACCTTCCTAAGTTGCTCACACCCCCACACCCTTCGGCCACAATGCCCGACGTAGCATCTGTTCAACACGTCAGGCATGCGGCCCCCTTCAGGACGCTCAATCCCAACTTTGGGGCCAGGTGCCGCAGCGCTTCCACGAATTTCGTTTGTGGATTCGGGAGCGCCATGACTCCCACCTTCCGTGGCATGCAGTCTGTGTCGGTTGAATTGCCGGGATGAAGTTTGTGGTCCTCGCCTCTCGCTAGAAAGCCCGCAAACTCACTCCAGATGCTTAGCTGCTATTCGTGTCCCAAGCTCCTGAAGTGGAGGCCTCTCAGCGCGGCCCTCGTCGCTGTGCGCCTCGCTATGCGCCTCAGAGAGTGGATCGCCTCGCCTGCCAGAGCCGGGAAGCCCAGGCTGTGCCAACGTCTCAGAAGCAGGGGACATCTCGCCATCGCGTCTCGCCTGGCCGAGGATCTCGTGGTTGCCTCCGCTGGGGAAGTCAGCAGCTCGAACAAAGCGCGGCTGTAGAAGCCATGAGCTGGAGTTTCACCAGGGCGGGGTGAATGATTCACACGGCATGGAGTGCTGAATTCAAACGTGATGGGCATCTTCCTTGCAGATCCACTCCTGGCACGGGCGCGCCCGCTGGGGCGCCACCCACACACACGCACACACTAACTTACACTAACCAAGAGAAGGAACCCGACCGAGCGAGGCGAGGCCAATATGATGCCTTTTGCACCAGTCATCATGTACATGTTTTTCTGCATCTATCTATCTGTCTATCCAAGAGATCTATCTACATGTTCATGTACATACATATACATACAGCTAGAGAAAGAGGCACTTCCATACAGACGGTGTCAATGCGCCACAAGCTTTTGCAGACAGTGCATGCCTTCGATCATGCCCGCTGGAGGCAGTACACGACCACCATAAGTGTGACCATAAAGGGAGGAGGCGTGCTTGAAGGCTGGCCCCCTCAGGGCCACATCTGTTCAAACCTGCAGTTTTGCAAGAAGTCTGTCGAATGGCTGGTAGACAAAGCACAGCTGCAAGCGCGAGATGTGAAACAAATGCGAAGGCCTTGCTAGGCAGATTGTAGAATACGCTGCACATTATCGGTGAGAGATGTGGACCATGGCCCGGGCAGACAGTGCTCACTACTGGTTTTCCCCGTGAAGGCTTTAGACCCCTTTCTGGTGGAGGTTGATAGAAAATCGTGGAATGAGCCGTCTTTTTTCGTAGAGTGCTGCAGGGAAAAGGATCCAACCGAGGCCTTTGCAGGGCTGCCGTTCCTCGCCCACGTTGAGTCGAGGTCTGCGCGGGCCTGTCGCTGGTGCTGTTTGCATTTTAGCAGAGCTTGTGGTTGAACAGATGCCTCAGATCAGCCAGATCTCGTCGCCTTGCAACAGGACGTGGTTGGAGAAGTTTAGGGTCTGCGCCCCGGCCGGCTGCAAGCTGAAAGCTTCGAAGACGGCAGAAGCCGGAATTGTGCGCCAGGTCACCGCGCTTGGGTGACGAGGGCCCTCGGCCGTCGCAGCCTCGAATGCGGAATTATGATCCAGTCATAGTCCAACTCCATCTCAACAGATGTCTAGTTCAGCTTCGCTACTGGAAGCAGCCGCTGAAGACCTTTCAGCTTCACAGCCCTTCCTCTCAGGGCTGCCAGCGAGACTTCCTGGGCTGGTGTTTCGGAGGCGCGCAACGGAACTCCTGGATTGTTCCATCGTGCAGTCGTCTTGTGGCACAGCCTGAAGGTACCAAGTGCCAAGAAGTCCGTCGCCTCAACAGGCTTGCATGCAGAGGGTTTGGTACGTTTTGAGGTTCGAGAACCGAAGTTTCGTGGATCTTGGGTTTGAGTATATGTGTGTCACCCACATGTGTCCTTTGCAGTTGTCCCAGCGCAGTCGTCCAATCAGTGACGCTGGTGCAACCGTAGACTATGCTGTTGTCATCTGTTGTCCAGAGCAGATTCCTTCTGTTTGCTTTCTGTTCCGTTTTTTGAGAAGGACAGGAAGAGGGTTTAGGGTTTGCGCTTTATGGATTAGTGCTTCTGGTGCACGGGATCTCCCGGCGTGTGGAGTGCTTATTCTCGTCATTAGACCGTCTGGGAGTGACAACATGTTGCGAGCTTCCATACCACAGCGGTAATTTCGGTCTACCGCATTCATGGCAGTACAGATGGACTCCCAAAAAATCCGAATGCCCAGAGTCTGTATGCATGATCAGCCCATAAGGAGAACAGCCATAAGAACAACATAACGAAACTCACAATTTGGGACATGTCTTAGACCTTGTGTCACCGATGCTCCCCCACTCATACTCATGCAAGCCGGCTATGCAAGCAGATAGCAGAAGAGTTTCTACAAGTAGCTGGTGCGAAGGGTGCGAGCAGAAGTAGCTTGTCGTTCTGCCTGTTTTGGAGGTCTTCAGCTTGTCAGCAAGCACACAGACAGCGAGAGGAGAAGACGGAGCAAAGCAAAGCAAAGGAGAAGACGGAGAGGGAGATGCAAGCAAGCAAGCAAGCACGAGTCGCGAAAATAGGTTTAGATGCCTACAGTGCACACTGTATGGCCATTTACCACCTCAGCTGAGTTGTTAACGTCTGAAGGCTCGAGCATCGGGAAGCCTATGTCCTCACTTGGCGTCAAGAAGGGCGGAAGGAACCATGCGGTGTACCAGCGGTGGCAGGTGGGATCTGGTGTGTATACGATCTGCGAAATACCACGAACTGGGAAAACTTTGCACGAATAACTAGGTCATGCACATACTGCGAACTCAACTCCGGACATCTTCGGGCTACTTCTTTCGTGTTTGATTGTTCTTTGAGTCCAGAACATTATACGCAGTGTTCAAGCCCAACACTCGCATGAGCTGCCAGACTCATGTGCACCTCACACGGGAAAGACGTCAGTGCTGGAGTTTGCTGGAACCCGGTGCGGCGAATCTGCAGGCGTTGGGTTCAAAATGCCTTGGTGATGTAGTAGCTCATGCTGCATCTCCGCGCCAGTCAGTTTCCTTCAGTTGCCGTTTGCCAGCATGGTCAGAGGATGTCAGAGGTGAATCTGCGTGGCTGCACATTCCATGGCAGTAGCGACTCAGAGCCGAGGTCTGACGAAGTGCCAGAAAGTTTCACATTTGCCAGACGGAGCCTCGATGGCTCGGCCGCCTGGATGCAAAAGTGCTGCAGGCGTTTTTCCAGCTGCGCAAACCACGTTGAGGCGCTGGCCGTTGCTTTTGAGCCTGCAGTGCCTGTGGTTAGCGGCAGCCGTGCGACCGAACGCTCGACTCTTGTCTGCAGCGCCGGGCTGATGAGGATGCAAATTGTGCAGACTGATCGAAGTCTCCCACCGTTGGCACGACCAGCCTGCAAGACTACCGTTGACACATTGGACATGAGGAGATGAAGAACTGGAGCAGGTCGTGGCGTGGCAGCAAGATCAATCTATCAGAAGAGTCAAGCTTGTTGCTCGTTTCTCGTTTTTCGCGGCAGCTGCTCAAAATTCCTCCTGCCTTTCCTCACTCTCCCTAGCTCTCCCTGGCTCGCCTCACCAGGGCAGCATGAGGGCAGCATGCTGGTCTATGACTTTTAGTGACATTCGGCCAGACTGCTGACCTGTCCGCCCGGCCACCGGATGCCAAAGGCCATGCGCGAGGATCGCAGCCACAGGCACAAGCAGCAACACCGCTACGCACAGGCAGGGGCGGACGGAATGTTGTCAGCTTGTGATGTTGTGCTTTGAGAGCCGATCCAAGCATGCACAGTCGCAACTTGCTAGCCACCTCTAATGGACTGCATCCTTCAGCTGAGGCATTGACTGTCCGGGCTCCGTGCACCTCCATGCAACACTCCCCCGAAATCTTCAACCTCTGCACTTGACAGTTCAGTTCTGTTGGACGGAGATTCTTTTCAAGCCAGCGCTGGTTCACCTACAGTAGCCATGAGTTCTGAGTCCGATGTGTTTTGCACTTTGAGATTTCAACTTCGCTGTAACACCCTCAAATTCAATATGGAGCATGCTCGCAGGCGGTAATGTGCTGTGTCTCACCGCGCCTGGAAACTGCCAGGTGCTGCATGTGACTGACGAATGCGAGAAGGACTTGAAGGCAACACCTCCGACAAACTGTCACAGAACCAAACGTAGCACCTGCGGAATAATCGGCATATTTCACAGGGGTTGGAGTACACGGAGCTCTGTGAAGCAGTTCGTAACATCCGGCCAGATGCTCTAGAGTTCAGACATTCCGCCCTTCAGCATGGAGCCTTCGTGCACGTGATCCTGTCCAGGCCCCAGCTGATCCCACGGAGGCCTGGGATCCGAAATCTTGAGCCTACAGTCCGCATATCCAAGCACGTGCCCAATGCAGGTGCTAAGCTGTAGGCTCCCAGCGAGTCTAGCATTGGCATATTGGCATGCATTTTCTAAGTGGCGATTACTTTATCCACCGTACAAGGGCGCAGGAGGCACTGTGTCTTGCAGAGGCCTGTCCCAAGAACTGCCCGTTCAGCGCCGAAATCAATGACCCAAAGGAGCTGCGGCCTCGGTTTCAGGAGGAAGAGCGGGATTCGGATGCTAGAAGTTGATCGCCCGGAAGCTTTGCATTGCGAGAGATGCCTCGTGTGATGCTGGGTTCAGGGTGCTTCAGGGTGTGCGCCTCGATGACCCCCAACCGGAGGGTCCTACCCCACCTTCGCAGACCCGGAAGCCGGGGCCTTCTTCTCTCGGGGATTTGTTTTATTCCACGTGCCTCCACGGTTTTTTCCCCCTGAAGCGTTGAAGTATCACCATCGAACCTGGAAGCCACTCCCGGCTTTCGATTCTCGGCAGGTATTGCCACTTCAAATGCGTGAAGCCCGAGGCCAGACTCGGCGGGCTCTGCTCTCAAGCGGAAGCCGCCCTAATCCCCTGAGCCTTCACACTGCCACCTGTACCAGCAGCTTCTATTGGCTCGGCTGCTAGAAGAGGAGTTTTGATGACGCTGGCTACTAAATCCGGGCAGGGGGTTTCAGATTTACGGGTGAAAACTGGCCGCGCCAACGCCGCCAAATCCAAACATATCGGGGTTCTGAAGTACTACTACTATACTATTACTACTGCTACGACAACGGAAGCGGACGAAACACTTTGCGCACGCTGACTCGGCTGGCTATTTTTTGGCTCTTGTTCCGGTCTCCGACCATCGGCCCGGCGAGGGGGTTTCGGATTTATGGGTGAGGGTTGCCTCTGGTGAAAATCCAGACGTTGACTTCCAAACAAACTGCGCTTCACGTCACAGCTGAACAAGGTCATACAAGCCCATGGTAGCGCTATCGCTATTCACACGTGATCGGCCACGTGGTGGGACACAGCAGTCCTTCGTATGTGGTTCTCCGAAAACTCGGTCAAAGTGGAAGACCCCGCCCCCATCCAAGCCACTAAATGTACACTTATGATCATGGGTGCGGACTCGTTGCAATGCAAGCATGCATTTCGAGCTTGGTCTTGCTACTCATCGCAGTGTCAGAGAGGGCGGAAGATAAATAAGTTGAGTTGGTTTTTGTATTGGCGCATATTGGCGCCTGCAGCGACACAACCCACAGTTGCCTTCCCAAGAAGCAAGCAAATGAACGCTTTCAGTAAACACAGTGCATTTGCTATCCTGAACTAGCGTAAACATCAAACCAAACTGGATCTGTTTCGCGAAAGTGGGTGTAGGCCTATCACATGTGCAAAGGTCAGAAACGATATCTATGTTGTCTGCTGTGTCTGGTCATGGACGGGTCGTGAAGAGTTTGCGGGTTACTGTGTAGCCAGCCAGCCTCATTAAACAACTGAACACATAACAGTGCCCGGAAGGGGCAAGGCTTCCTGCGATATCCGAAGGCCTTGCACGGCGTGCACATATTTGAGGCCTTGCTGGTTCGACTGTATGTTGCACTTAAAGTTTGAAATAGCGCAGGGCTGTCCCGGATGCTGAAGCCAGGCAGTAGGAATTAACTCAAACACATGGGTATATATCCCGTTGTACTTGCTCACAGCTTTGCGAGAACTGCCAACATCGACGGTCAGGGGAAGGATTTTGTTTCTATGCAATGAGCCTGTGCTGTGACGTGTTTCTCATGCGCTCAAGTCCATACCGCCAAATAACCCAAACTAGAAAGCCTTAACATCGAGCCTGTGACTCTAAGTTGCTACATGGAATGTTTGTATTGCGCGCTGCCTGGTACTAGCATCAATGCTTGTGTTTTCCTGGCTCTTCTTCCTGACACAAGTGGGCCACTTAGCCACAGGATAACCTCAACGATGCTAGTTACGCTGCCCGTGAAAAGCTTGAGCCCCACATGGTTGATGATTTTCCTTATGAGCCACACACACACAACATACCTTCAAACAGCAATGCGTGTGAAAGGAAAACCGCTGCACAGGCAGCTTACTGCTCAGGAGATTACTGGCACAGTAGAATCTAACTCCCGGCCGACCGTGGACCTTTGGAGACTTCTCGCATGCTGCTGGCATGCAGTTGGATAGATTGCAGAAAACTTGATGGAAAACGTGTACCAAGAACTGCAGTTTTCTGCTGATGTTTTGAGTGTCCCGGGAAGAGCGCTTCATTGCGACTCATGGTGCATTGCAGCAGATTGCTGAGAACTGTTTCGGTTCCTTCCCACAGATGCTTCGACAATTTTGAACGGCACAGCCTGTGCCCGGCTGATATCTTTACATGCTTGCAGGTAAATAGTAGGAACCGCAAGTTGTCTGTGCTTCGCAAGTGTCTGCCATATTGTGACATCAGCTTGCCAAAAATAGGCTGCTTAGAACAGTTCTACGGAAGACTGAATCGTATTAGTGCACTGACACCTTTCGGGCTTCGTTCCCTCCGGATGTCAGCCAGTTACATACAAACAGGCTGGCAAAAGACTTCCTGTTGGAGTCGTTTCCCTTTTTTGTTTTTTTTTCGTTGTTGCCTTCAACTAAGTAGTTCATAATGAGCTGATTGCGTCCCGGATCCCGCTGCACACGCATAAACGCCAAACCCAGTGGGTCACTATGTGGAACCCCACATCGTGGAGTTCTTGCAAACCGGAAATCCAACAGTTGAAATTCTGGAATGCTTTTAGGAATCACCGGCATTCCTCCAGTTTTGCCCAAGCGGTTGGGTTTGTGGTTTTTGCGCTTTAAAACTGTGTGCAAGGTTCAGATTGAGTTTTGGAGGGGTTTTGCGTCGAGGAATTATGGTTTCCTTATTTCTTTTGGCAAGTCACCTGTAGGGGCATCATTCCCATTGCGTTGAATGTGGTGTGAAGCACAGTTCAATCTCGCCTATGTCCCGCCGACAGTTGGGCAAAGATCGCCAGGTGTGAAACATGTGGGCACCGTTTCACCATTTTACACATGTGAACCGCTGCTTCGTTTCAGACATAAAGTTTGCAATCCTTTTCTTGAAGTTGCACCCGGACACAAGCCTTTGCGATCAAAAGCCTGGTGTAGCGCGTGGGTCCTTCGCCAATTGGGGCAGACATTCACGTTACGCTTTGGCAGGATGTTGTGCATAGGCCAAATGTTTCCGGCCTTGAGGATTGCCCAGCATAAAGAGTCATCATATGCAGACTTTGCATAATGTCCGTTCGGCCAAGAACACGCTGCAAAGCAACACGCGGATCGAAACGCTGTCCGCAAGCATCCCTGCATCCTGAAATGAGCACCGGAGTCCCACCGTGAGGTCGTGACAGACGGAGGAAATTTGGCATCGTGAATCAACCCGGGCTCCAAAATTAATCAGCTTGACCCTTAATTCGTTGATGTCACACCAGGTTCGTCAATAAACCGCCGAGTTCGTCAATGGAACCAACAGTTCGTCAATGAAGAGACAACTTCGCCAATGAGGGGCCAAAGTTCGTCAATATTGACGAACTTTAAAAGGCAGATTGACGAACTCTGACGGAACTTCCGTTGACGAACCGCCGAACCCATTGACGAATTGACGAACCCATTGACGAATTGACGAACCATTGACGAACTGACGAACCATTGACGAATTGACGATCTCATTGACGAGTTGACGCCGCCGAAGACAAATTTCCCAGCCCAGTGACAAACTAACGAACTCCTTAACTAACCATTGGCACACACATTGGCATTGACGATTTGATCCGCCCATTCATAAGGTGACGAACCCATTTACAATTGGCAAACCCGTTAAACCCGTTGAACTCAGTTCAACTTTACGGATGCCTGCTCATGTCATACCACCTCAGCGTGGAGCTGACACATGAGTGTCGGTTGTTGGCTAGCGGCTAGCACACCATTCGAGTTCTTTGTCGGCTAGCACACCATTCGAATTCTTTGAAGAGCATTCAAGAAATAATGGTGGAGAAGCGCAGTTTCAGTTTTGAGCTAGTTAGGGCTTGCGAGCGGGCGTGATGGGGTGCGAGTGGGTTGTTGGTCTTTGAATGACCCTGACGTGCCGACAACAAAAAAACATTCACAGGCACAAAGGGCGCACAAAGAAATTGAAAGCGAATGTGAGATGCGTACACCTTTGCTTGACCTTTACCACGGCACATGCGCACCACCTCAAATTGTGTCCAGAGTGTTTCGTCGACCCAGTGAAATTAGGTGAACACATGTGGCGTCACATGTGCGTCCGCCCTTTGGGAATATGTGTTTGCCGAAACAAAGGGCGCACACGTCAAACCAACTTTGTTTTCGCCGTGTGTTGGTTGAAACAATGAGTAAACAAAAACTAATCTGACATGCATTGTGACCTCGAAACGAGTGGACAAGATTCCGTGCGTCACGTGCATGCCAGACATATGCAGAAACACTTGCGCTGTACCAACAACTAGCAACCGCATAAACAATTTACATTTTTATGCAAAACACGTTCACAGAAACACTTGAACAGAACAATGCAGCACAACGCCTCCTTTCCAACAGGTGCCCTGAAGTGCTCGGTCAACACAGGACCTGTGTAGCTAGTTTAGTTCAATTTAGTGCGGTCACAACATTGCTATATTGCCAAGCACCTATCGTCTCCCTGTCAGTGAAGAGGAACGACTCTCCAAAGAAAGAATTCTGCGCATACAGTTGTTGTCAAGAGCGTTGTCACGTTGTCCACCCCCAAAAAGTTGAACCCAAAGACTGACCGAAGACTTGCCACAACACTTGTACAAAGTGCGAAAGACAAAGCTTTGTCAAAAGCTTTGTCCACACAACCAAGTGTTATCAAAAGAACTGCTAAAGTCTCGGCAATGCTCCCTCAGCCCCGGCAAAGAAACGGCAAGTGACATTTCTCGGAGCAATGGTTGACGAAGTGACAATTCTTTTGACAACAACTTTATGTTTGGGTTGGTCATCTATCGAAACTTGTGTGACAAAACATTGTATTTGCAATAAGGTCTTTTGGCAAAGCATCCCGTAACGCAGAAACCGATAATGTAATATGAAAATTAAACTCTTACCAGGCCCGTCAGAATAGCTGCTGAACCAAAGGCCTTGTTGACGTGTCTCCTGCATGTTTGTACTTGTTAATAGATCTGTTGGCACTATCGTGTGTACATCAGTATATCATAATGGGCATACGTCTGCTTATGTGCACTGGTGTGCTTTTGTATGCCTTTAGTTTATGTCTATGTATACCCGTAAGTGAATACATATCTATATATATATATGTATATGTATGCATGCATATATGCATAGAAACATACACAGACACACACACACACACACACATGCTTTTTGTTATGTTTCCGAATACGCACAGTTGCTGGCGCCTTGACATGCAACTGTCAATGCCTTCACGTTGTGCTTTGTACACACCATAGCATATATACATGCTTGTTGGACCGTCATACGCTTGATGTCTTCCGTAGACTGTCAGATATGCAAAACACGTTTCAGAAATATTGCGGGCTCGTATGTCTGCAACCCTTAGTCATGCAGTTACACACACAAATAACATATACACAAATATCTATATATGTTTGTATATTTGTGCGTGTATATGTATATATATATATATACACATGTATATGTATAATACACATGCCTATACCACGCACCTACAGCCTATACAGTCTGTACCTAACATTATCTACCTCTCTCTTTCGGGATATAAACAAATATATATATATATATATATATATATATATACATATGTATAGATATATATGTATGGCGTAAACCCACCCCATTTGTATGTGCCTGCGTTGTTGTACATGTTGTTGTGTCACTGTGTGTTTTAACCTTGTATGAAAATGTATGCACATGCACCCAGAAAGGAGACTGCCCAGGACACAAAATGTGGCTAGAAACCTTTGCAGCTCTTGTTACAAAGATCGCAAACCAGAAGGTAGGTTAAGCTGAACAAGGCACAAGCACAATAAGGATGACGACGGCCACAAACCCAAACAAACCAGTTGACAATCGAACAACAAGCAAACAAAACAAAGCGATAAGAAAGACGCGACAGCAGCAGAGCTGTTGATTGTTTTTGCGAGGGTGACCTTTCGGCTCGGCTCGAAGCCTGGATGTAGATACGACAGGCTCTTCTATTCGACAAGCGTTGGGCAAGTTTTGAGCGCTAGCGAAGGGTTCGGGTCAGGACAGGATGGTTTACGAGTTTAAGGGCTCTTTTGGATCGGTTGAGCTCTTTTCCATCCGTTTGTGTGCCCTCTAACAGAATTCCGCCTGAGTCTTAAGACACTTCTTTAGTTTCTAGATACCTTTCTTTTGCATGAGCCCAAGTTAAGCCCCCTGAGCAGGATTACTCAGCGACGTCGCCATGAAATAGCGAAACAGCCAATCTACCCTCGGAACAAGTACGCATGCTTCCAAATAGCTCTGACAACCATCAATCGGAAGTGAAAGCCCCGGGCCCTTCCAACCCATCTTCCCGAAATACCTGAACGGATTTAGTAACGCTGGCGGTGATGGATGATGATACTCAAGTCGATGGTTGCTGAAACTTGTACTGCTACTGCTACTCCTACTCCTACTCCTGCTCCTACTCCTACTCCTACTCCTACTCCTACTGCTGCTACTACTTCCATCACTACTTCTTGCTGCTACTTATGATGATGATGCTGCTGTTGATGTTGTCGCCGTCTGGTGGATTTCGGTATTTGAGCCACCATTGTTTTGGAGCTAGTAGCACGTTCATGCTATTCGCAAAGCAACTAGGAACTTCAACCCGCATGAGTTCACGAACCCAAGCACAACAGAAATTGCTAAAACAAGCATGCCGGGGTCTTTTGGCATTGTTAGAACGATCCGATTTTTCGGGCCAAATGGGGACTGTCAAATGCCTTGCCCGAGATGCACTCAGCGAGATTTGTCAATAATGCGGATGTTGGGCGAGTCGATCACATACTGCCTACAGCAACATTGACAGACCACAACAGTTGTTTAGATACGAGAGAGAGCTTTCAGCACAAGCTTGCGACACCCGTAATAACAGCTTACTGTAGCAGCATTACAGCCATTGGCAGGAGTGTGGCACCAAGGGAACCATTCCCAACCAGACCATCCCTGAGCGGGAGAAGACGAAGGAGACCCTTTCCTGCACGAGACGAGAAGCTGCGGTATACTTCGAGGTCGGTTGAACGCTGGAGCCGAACGACAGGGAGTTGATATTGTATTCACGCAAACACCTTGATGTGGCTCTCAACCAAGTCCTGAGGGCACACGCAATCCTTTGAACCAAACAGGTTATTGTCTCCTTTGCCGGATACGGCAAGCACATCCATCTCAGGAACCCCTATTGCCGCTACTGCGAAGTGGAAGCATGTGCCCAATGCACATCCTCCAAGCCCGGCGAGGAGGACGAAGCAGCGACTTGCTTTGAGAAGCCTCCCATGTCTTTGTCGACTCAGCCTTTGCCTTTGCTTGACGGCAGATAGTAGACGGGGGCCACTGGAGATCGATGCATGACGGGATGCGCTCAACCATGTTTTGCTTGGGGATCTTGAGGCCTTCGGAATTGTACCGTGGAGCTGCTTCGGAGTTTCGGCGACCTGCCGAAAGATGCAGAAACTATGCACAGACCTAGGTGGAGAAATGCCAGAAGTGCATGATGGGCTACACTCTGCCTTTTGGCTGCACTGGATCCTTCCGGGCCTGGGATGCTTCGATGCACTTTAACGTTTCTCAGTCCAGTCTTGCTGTCGATTTTCTCAAAGTCAAAGATGGCTCGGGGGAGTTCCGCTCATGCTACATGTTTGTTGCCACGCCATGGGCCGAGGTCCGAAGATGGGAAGGAGCTTGGGCTTGGGTTGCAAACCGATGTGGGGTGAACATGCACTATCATGTTTGAGCATGTTGCCAACAAGATGCTGATGCTGTTGATGCCAGTCAAGCAAAAGCCGTATGAAGTCGAGGAGTGCACTAGCCATGGCGATGACATTTTCTTGGTGCTCGCTGCAATTGGTGCGGTCGCAGGGCTGCTGGGTGCGTGCCCAGGGTGCAAGACGCAGCTTTGGTCTACGATGTGCTAATCTCCACGGTAGGCCTCTAGGGCTGCGTTTTTTGACATCCACAGATTAGCTACTCCGACTGGTATAGCAGCCGCTGCACTCCGAGGGGCTGGTATGTGAGCTTGGCCATGAAGCCGACTGTGAACGTGGAGGGTCTCCAGCAGCCTGGCTGTGTTGCTGAGCCATGGGACTTGTCAGGCCATTGCCGAGAGTCGGGAGCAACTTCGTGAACGCATAGGAATGCTGCAAAGCACGATGTGCCCTGCCAAGGTACGCGCAGTCAAGCCACATGCGAATGATGATCACTCAGGCAGGGTGCTGCTGGCCTTACAGAAGCTTCGACCCAATGTGGTGGGGGCCACATCCGTCGGATTTCCCTACATACCTGTTTGAGAGATGGGACTGTCTCTCGCGGCCTCCAATTGCTAATTGGCGTTGTCCGCTCACCTGCTGTGAGCTTGAACAGCCGCCAGCACATGTGCTTGAATGCGCAGCAGGATCACCATGGAGACGAGGGTCAACCGTACCCGCCACCCACCTGCATTTGCCGGTTCAGTTGTCAGTTGGTTGTGTTCTTTCAGGAGAGGTATTTTGTGGGTGATACTCTGGCATATTTTGCGATAGAGTCTACGCCATGCCTAAAGCTACCCCTCGTGGGAGAGCAATTCAACCTGGACCCGGGGAGACTGTCTATCCTTTTCTTTGTGCTTGCCCGGCGTAAAGGTTCGGTACCAACCTGATGTCCAAAACCGTGGCCGGGCCCGGCGCAACGGCACTCTTTCGCTTCCAGGCGAGGTGCGGACCAATGCCAGTCAGCAGTACGGTGTGATGTCTTTTGAACTCACTGCCCCTGGTATCCAAAATTGCGGAGATGAAAGAATCTACGATGTGCGCATGCCCCAGGGCGCAGTGCTCCTTTGGGGCTTCCTCGTGCCACTTGTCCCGCAAGCTTTCCATGGCCTTCATGTTATGTGAGAGCAGGACCGGGCACTGTGTTGACGAGACGGTTGGACCACAGGGGCATTTCGGGTTGTCCAGTCTGAGTGCAGTGTGCCCGTGATGAGTGAAAACTGAGGCTGCTCCTTTGGTTTGCCTTCGTCCTGTTTGCCGGGCCCTCAGGTGTCTTTCTACGCCAACCTTAGAACACATACCACCCGCCAACTTATATAGAGCAATGATATCGTAGGCTATGTGGTTTTGTGGGCATGATGTTGAGATTAAAGCCCCCTGCATGGCCCTGCCGTTTTCATTGGCCATCCGGAGATATCCCAAGTCCTTGGTGCTCGAGGTCAGCAAGGATCTGCTGATTCTCGGCAACCGCCCGGCTTCCACGCCTCGTCAGCTTTGCGAGGCCTCCATTTTTCATTTTGTTGCATTCGATCTCAAGTGATGTGTCGTGCAGTTCCTAGCAAGAGCGCTGCGCAGCCTATTTCGTGACGTGCACACAGCATGCGGCTTGGGCGTAGAGTCGAACCCTTGCAAAGCGTAGGCATTTCTATGAAGATGGAGCGACTAGGCCCAGATTCTTCATAAGGCCGTGCGAATGCAGAGAATCCAGAGAAGCACAAATTCACATTCAAACCGCCACCGGACTTTCTCTAAAGACATGCCATGTCAAGGAGCTGTTCTGACAAGTCAAACGAAAGATCGCCTCTGCCACCTCAGGTGGTTTTCTGGGGACGGCACAGACAGTGCCTGGCTGCAGCCAGAAAGTCTAGAGTAAGCACATCGAATCGAAGCTTTTCTCTTGCCTGTTCCATGCAGCTGGTCATCTACATCGCCATGTGCCAGCGGGTTATCATCCTGCCTTCCCTACCCTGCCGAGTATGCATATTCTCAGGATGGAGCTGATTTGGACCAAGTGTACTTGGATCGTTTGCGCCTACCTGCTTGGCACCATTGGCTTCTTGGCCGGAAGATCGCCGTGGGTGCACTTCTGTGTGCCAACTGAGCCCAGAATTTGCGTTGTTTGATCGATTGGAAAGGGTGCGATCAACAAAACAAAATCAAAAGCAACACAAGCCGTAGACCCTGGACTGCAACAGAACTGCATTCCTTCAAACCTCCCTCGTACTTTGTTGGTCATGAAGAAAGAGAGTTCTTGCTTGATGTAGCACATCTAGCAGAACATACCCTGGTTTGCAGGTGCTGTGACCTATGGAATCATGATGGCCAAGTTTTTCGTGAGCTTCGACAGTGAACGTGCCACAGCGAGATACAGGGGGAGTGCAGGTATTGTTGATTGTTGGCCATTAAGCTTCGTCGTACAAGGTGACAGGGTTTGACACCTCGAAGTGGTGAAAAAAGTGTTGACATGAAGCACGAACGAGACCGGTGACGTGCAATGTTGTTCTGCGCAAAGTGAAGACGGCTTGAACATGGCACAAACAGTTTTGTGTTAAAGCAGAGCAGCATCGCGGCTAGACTGGATCCAGAAACACGGAAGACCTGCATGGGTGTGTGCGGTTTTGGCCGCAACGGACATCTCATGTCCACAGAGCCAGTTGGCCCTTGGGACAGGGTCATTTTCGCAATAGGGCAGGGGGAAGCTCCCTGACCCCGGCCGCACTGCGCCACGTGCCCTCCTTCGCCCTCGCTCGTAGCAATATAGGCCCCAGCTGTTGGCAACTGTTGTTTAGCAGCTTAGCAGCGGCTTCACAGAAAGCAGTATCTTGATTGATCCAGCTTTCCGTCAGCACCTTTGTTCCTTTGTGCAACGTTCGTGAACGTTACGACACTCCCAGAGCCATGCCGATCGCTCCGATGTGCTTCGCGCTGGATGCTGCGGACGCTGATGAAGACCCACCTCGGCTCGGATCAGAGCCTAGGTTTGCAGGAGGTTATCTCGGCAGCTCGCTGCAGAGTATTTGGGCTTAGTACCCAAAGTATCTCAGAGCTTCCAAGTACCATCCGCACGTACAGGTAATGTCAGTGCATCGTTGAGTTGCATGGGGGAAGCAAAACGAGGTGGTGTGAAAGAGGCAACTGAAAGTGAGTAGCAGGCGCTACAAAAGCGGCAAGAAAAGCAAGACGACGCAAAGCCAGCTGTGTATCATTCCCCTTTGGCCACTTGTTGTTCATCCCTCCCTCACTTATCTCTTCGCTTCTAGACTTGCAAGCAGTCCCACTGTCCCCGCCTCGCACCGATCCTGATCAGCAATGCAGTTTCTGTACTTTTTGTCCGGATCGACTTGAACCAACTGCTCATGGACCTGCTTGACCAAGGAAAGGAAGGCGCGAGCTTTGAGTCCCCCCAGCCACGTGATTTTCAGCAAGGCCTTGATGGAAGCCACAGCCCGCCACCGACCCAAAGGCACTGACCTTGAAGACATGTACGCTTTCCTTCCTGACCAGCTTGGAAAATGCGACAAGGACGTGGCTGAGCCCGTTGCCGCCAAGGCGGTGAACCTCCACCCGGCTTCGGCTGGTCGTGCGCGCGCAAGCTCCTTGACTCAGATTCGGGCAAGGCCTCCGGTGGCTCCTGCAGCTGCGGCGGCTGCGGCGGCTACGGCTTCGGAGGCTCCCAGGAGACGAACGCGAGGTTCAAGTACCGGTGCCAACAGGAAGGGCCTTGTATGGAAGCCGAAGCAGAGCCATGCGTGCGAAGTCTTTGCTGGTGATCGAATTCAGCCAGCACTTTTTCGCGGAGGTGGCTGCTGAATAAGTAGCTCTGCAGCTTTCATGAATTCGGCTATTGCACATGTGCCCGCCCGAATCCATTCGACTTGCGCACTGCTGCAATTCTTTGCAAAGCGAGGGTTCCAACCCTCCAAAACGAGCCAAATGTTTTCGAAGAACTCACCTCTGCAAGATTCTTCGCGATGTCTTCAACAAAGTGCAGCCTCTTCTGCTTTCGGTACTGCAGGGTGAGATAATCATGCCTCAAGATCGGGCCCGGTGCAGCACGACCGTCTTGGCGAGGAATCTCTACGCTTCTGTGGCCTGAACTTGAGGCATGGCAGGATTGCCAATGCTTCAGAACTCAGAACGATTGTATTCCTGCCCCACCTGCAGGGCAGTCGCAGAATGTCTCAGAAATCACGCGGAGCTGCAAAAAGATGTTGGCAATGGCTACTTGTAGTGCCTGGCAGCCGCGAATCCAATTTCTACATTAGGTGCGACGCTCTCCGACTATGTTGCGGTGCTCGAGGCTCGCATATTACACCACGATAGAGCTAATTTTAGCCAACTCTGCACATGCGTCTTGTGGGGTCTGCGTGCCGGGTGCTTCACGTCAAGGCCTCCAAGGTTTTGGCCGACTGTTCGAGAAGCTTCGGGTTCATGACTAACTTCTTCCGGCCGTGACGTCCCTTAGTTCCGTGATTTCAAGCGGAGATCACTGCCGCTTAGCACCGCCTTGGAGGTTCCCAGAGGCCAGTAGATCGCTGTTCCTGTTTGCAGATATTAGCACTCTCGTAGCTGACACCACATATGTCAGCCCAGTGGTGATGTATTGTGGAAGTATGTGGAAGATCAAGTGGACAGAGGACCACCATCCTAATTGGGCACGGGTGCTGCGAGAGAACACAGGGCGTGCCAACGATCACGGGAGATGAGCCTGCGGAGGCTTTGTTGAAGGAGGCGCATCACAGTTGGGAGGGGGACTGACTGTATGTGCAGACTCGAAGCATAGCTCAAAAACGGTCGTGTCATCGGACATGCGATGCCTCGGACATAAGTGTCGAAGTTCGGATGTCTAACAGCAGAAAAGCAAGCAGAAACCAGCTTAGAGCTGGTTGTGCCAGAGATTCTCTCACAGGAGAGAGGGGTCGGGCTCCTTTGAAAAGAAGGATAGTCGGCAACATGCCGTCAGGCCGTGCAGAAAGCAGTTGGCCATAGCCTCAGCGAGCCGGAGTGACATTGCGGGGCTCTGCAGCCTGCTTAGATTCGAGCCAGGCCCTCTAGGCTCTCTGATGCTCTCTGATGCTCTCTGCACTATGATCTTGCTTAGGATCGCGCAAAGGCCGATACACACTGCCAACAAACATGTGGGCTCGGAACCAGGTGAGGACGTTGCCAAGGACATCATTGCCGTCTCGGTCGGTTGGAATTTCTCGGAGCACGTGTCCCAGGCTGGCGGAAGCTTCTTCGCATATTATATATTGGTTTTACATGAGGTAGCATGCCTAAAAGCTTTGTTGTGGTTTCAGGTCTGATCCATGGTGCAAGAGGATGGGCAAATTTTCAGAACAGGGGAAGCTGCAAAAAGGTTCTTTAAGTATTATGAGATCCCAAAGCTGGAGCCTCATAATGCTCGGGCATTGCGGCGAAAGCCTCGGGAGCTTGCTTCTTGTTAGTGGGTGGGTCGGTGCGTGCTTTTGTGTGGTATCGTGTGTTGTTTTATTGTTTACTCTGGTTACTCTGGTTCGCTGGTCTCTGACTCCTTGCAGAGTGCCTTATAGTCAGTTGAGATTTTCTTCTCTCGGGCTATGTGACGAAGGCTCTTTGCTTGGGTCTTGCCTTATCCGAAACCATAAGCATGCCCACACCCGCAGTCCTACTTAGCCGGAAAAGTCCAAAACGGAGACTTCCCTATGATCAGGATCATGATGATGGTGTTTGCGCTGGTGATGATGCTGAGTATGATGGTGATTATGGTAACGGCGACCAGGATGCTGCTGTGCGTTTATTGTGTTCTTGTAAGCAGAAGGTAGCAGACAGTGATCTTCAACATGGCTTTTATGATGATGTTGATGCTAATGTCGATGTCGCTGACCATGTTCACGTTCTTATTCCTGTTGTCGTTGTCGTCGTCGTCGCTGTTGGTTGTTTTTTGCTGCTGTTGTCGATATCTAGGATGTCAGAATTTACTGCCGCGCCTTCGCGTCACGGTGTCTTCGTCCCAGTGTTTCGGTCTTTCAGGTTCAAAACAAGTGCTGTAGTTTTGAATGTCTTGGCATGGCCCCTTCGCTGTCTGTGGAATGTGTGAACAGGGAGACATGGATCGTGCCTTGATTGCTGTTGGTGAGCCCTGCATCTTCGTCCTGCGTGCAAAATGTCGTGGACAGATACAAAGGGATCAAAAGCGGGTCGATTCTAGAAACAGTCACAGAATCCGGCCTGTTGCTGCCGCGATCCTCGAGACAGCCGTTCTTTGATGTTGACAGACTGTGTCAGACATCATGTGGATCTGCGAAGGAAGCGCCAAACGTTCGAGCTGGTCAACTTGCTAAGTGTTGCGACTTCCAACATTCCAGTCCAAGAGCGAAACCCGCCAGCATGGCAGGTCAGGCACTTCATTGACGAAGAGGCCTGAGGGGATTGCTTTGGAATGCCTTCCATGGCCGGGTCCTGACAGACTTGGTGTGCTGGCTGTTTCGGGTTGTGGCACTGCCACTTGCAAGAGACCTCGGTGCTGCAGATTCAAGTGGGGGAGAGCATTTCTTTGCTTGAGAGGGCCGTGTGAAGGCAGACAGGCAAGTGATGGATGCGAGCTGAAGAGTTTTATTTGTTTGTTTGGGCATTGTTTTTCTCGAAATGAACCCAGCTATGCATGGAACCAATGTCCACCCCTATGCAGTTTCTCCTTCCTCGCCCCACCAAGTCAACATCCTCTTTGACGCGGAGACTCCGACTTCTCCAATTCGCGAAGTCCGCCTTTCCCACCGTAGTCCCTATCTCTTATGCATGCAGGTCGCAGAATTCCACGTGGAGCACGGTGAGCCGAAGGAGACCCCAGAGGGTAGCGGCGATGAGGCCGAAGTGTTTGTCATCCTAGTCCTTTTATCATCGTCATGGAAAGCATCAACCAGAAATGCCAAGTTCAAAATCACTAGCTGCAGCAGTAGCATTAGAGCAGTCGTCGTGGTAGAGGCAGTGCAGGAAGGTTTTATGTTTAGGTTCAGTTGCAGGGCTACGGTTGTGGACCTTTGACGGTTCGGCAAACGTCTTCCGGTCTGGGTTGCGAAGCTTCGGCTCCTCCCAGTTGCAGTAGGCTTTTGACTTACTGAGCCACAAACCTTCGACATGCAGGCGACAAACGGCTTCCAGACTCCAACCGTGTTTCGATGGGTCAGAAGCTTTTGTTATCGAAAGAGTATTGCGTTTTGGGGACGAGCAGAAGAGGAGCCGCGGTCTTAGAAGCGTTCTGTCATCACCATGAGCCTATGTTCAATTTCGTCGTCGGAGTAATATTCCAGTGCTAGGGGGCGCATCAGCGCCAGAGTCTGCAGCATAAGCAGCATGGGTAGCAGTAGGGAGCAATCGGAAGCGACATTTGTAGGCAGAGACAGCAGCAAGCGCGGTTGGTTGCCTGAAAACACAGTGGATGTGGTCGCCCACAAATTTTGAGGTCTTGTGGCAGGCAACACCGACTCCATCCAACCCTCAGTCCCCACGGTTTGAGTGCCAAAATACTAAACTTCCATCCTTCTCTTCGAACCACTTCCGTTGCTGCACCGCAGTTCAATGGGGCCTGCGGCAAGATATCGAAGCAAGTCCTGGAGAAATGGTGACTTGGACAGAAACCATAGACAAGTCGTGCCTCCGGAGTTCCAAAACAGAGGGTTAAGTGGTAGAATCCTTTGGATTGAAAAACGGCTGCATGCGGAGAGGGGGAGACAAGTGAAAAGGGTCAGGGGGCGGGGACGTAGGATCATGGACTAGTCTACGTCGGGCCTTGCCACAGAACTGCCCGAGCTTCACTGCCGTGGACATAGTTCAAAACAGAACCCCAAAGCAAACTGCTCAGTAATTCCATGTACTTCTTGCTTCATGCAAAGAGGCTGCCAAACGCACACTTCATGCACACCTGGTCCTCCTGGTAAAGAGCAGAGAAAGCCGGAGGGAGTGTGACCACAACGCAGCCAGAATGGCAGGGAGCACAATCGGTAGCCGCGTACGTTTTGACCCACACGGATGGGGCGATCATCCCGTAAACGTTCCGCCCCATGAGTATCTCCTTGAACAACTCCCGAAACATCACGACGACCTCTACCACCACTACCTACTACTGCTGACAACTGCGATTGGTACGGAGAATTGGGAGCCGACGAGGAAAGACAGGAGAAAGGTCGCTTGCCAAGGACGGACCAAGCTAGTGAGACTAGCGAGAGAAGACGACCCACGGTCTCATAACACCAAAAGCAAATCATCGTTGCCATGTCTGAGAAGCGGAACAACCAGGGTTCAAGGTGCAAGGCAGGCTGGCTTGTAGTACCGTAGCATAACTTACATGGTTAGGAAAGTTTCGAAATTGGGGCTTGGGTTGCTGCCGCGTGACAAGTTCTGGCTTAAGGCTTAAACTTAAACGCCTCATGCGGAGTAGCTTTTTGATCGGATACTTGCTTTCTCAGACCAAGCATGACAAAAATGCTATCCTATTCGGCTCATCCGAAACGCATCAAGTTGTGTTTTGGCCAACCAACCCACGAAAGAGACTATGCTAACTAGCTGTTTCAGACAGGAAGCTCGCCTACTGGATCAGAAACCAGAGACCGTGCATCCGACTCGACCAACATTTAGACTTGCGGGAACAGTCAAGGACAGTAGACTGGGAAGGGAGCAGCTGCGGTTCCAATCACGATGTCTCCATGAGTATTCCTACCTAGCCGGATCCTCCGGCCATTCGAATTTCCAGGCACATCCACTTGGACGGCCATGGACACGAGTTTGAGGTGGAGGACCTCAAGCTACTGGGATTTTTTTTGTCCCAGCGCACCAGGTCGACTTTGGACGGTCTGAAAAACAGTCGGGCTTGTCGGAAGGATGAGAGTTCCCAGATCCGGACTCCATGACAGTCGTCCTAAGGAACAATCTCAAGAGCCTTGAGACGGCGCCGACATCTTACGTGATCTTCATGAAAGAGGATTCCAGGCCCGCGGGGAGCAGAAGAGAGAGATGCTGGTGAAGCATATATTGCTATCGCATTTCCGACATCGCAATAGTTTCGCAAGTCTTCCAAACTCAAGAAACGTGGATGCCCCGCGCTGTGTTGTGTGGCGTAACGATTTTCGCTGACACCTGTATCTTAGCGCTATGCCTTGTACCGCATTGGGATACACCAAACCCGCAGCTTGCACCAGGGACCAGGCCATCGAGGCAGTCAAGGATTCCGGCATCAAAATCAAGGACTTGCGCTCCGTTCAGTTTTAGGTGCGGCGATGGTGCATGAGCTTGTCTAACACGATTCGCAGAAAAAGACACTACAACAAAAGCCACAGAAGCTTGCGGCCTTCCAACGACCGTGAACATCAGGCAGGCATATTAAAATAAAAAGGATTTTCGGCTGCAAACGACAGCGGTGCACATCACCATCAGCTGCGAGATCCGGGAAGGCGTGAATCAAGGGAGGCGGCCATGCAAAGTACTCGCGAAATCCGGTTGGTCGTGAAGATTCGCGAAGGCGGTAGCGCAACCCTCAAGCACTGCATCCGGATCATGTGCTGCGCAAGGATGCAACCTGCTCGCTGCGTGCCGAGACCTACGAGCCTGAGGTGGGTTGCCTTTCTCTTTTGGCTACCTTTCATGGCCCGTCACTGTCACGGTCTTGAATTCGAAATTGGTGGATTCGTTGGACTAGAGAGAGCCTGTCTTTGTCAGGCCCTCTTCTGGCACAATCTCCACATCACTCCGGCTCAGCGGTCAGGGCGTTTCGTGGGAGCAAGCGCAGCTTGCCTGACAGGTAAAGACCAGGAGCCGTCAGATAGTTTGTGCGCCTACGAAGTACTGCTGTGGCAAGGTGCAGATTTTCCTGGTTTGCATGGCGTGGACAGTTCTGCTCTACCTGCCCTATGCGCACTATATGAGACTTGTCGTAATTATAGCAGTCAGCAGAGGGTTTCATTCGTCACGGGATGGAAATCTCCAAATCCGTGCATCATACGCACGTCGATGCTTGCTGCTCACGCTTGTCGTTGATCTTGTTCGCCTGGTCCATGCCGTTATCTCTTACTTTGCTGCGAGCAGGTCTTTAGGATCAAACCTGGAGGAACGCTCATGAAAGTTCAAGATGCACCGTTCCAGCCACCTCACCTGCGCCAACCGGGCGTTCTCACTCAAGAAAGGCTAAAGCTCGCTCAGCCATGGGTAGGCATCAAAAGCTGGCCACAAAGGGCCGGACGTGCTGATTGATGCGACGGCAATTTCTCATTCAACTGGAAGTCCGAGCGAGTGTTGGCAACGGATTGGGTGGCATTTGAGAAACAAGTCGTGACGTAAGCGCTGGTCACCTACAAGCATATGCAACACATTGCCACACACACCAACACGCAACCCAGAATCAGACTTCACGGTGGTGAATTTCTAGCGCAGACGTACTGTGCATGCAGGTGGGCTTGACATGTTGTAGAGACAACCGATGTTCTTGCACCAAGCTGCCCCCTTCCTTGGGCAGAGCTGCGAACTGGAGCCACGGCAATTTCAAGAACACAGATCAGAGAGGAAGCTCTACCATCCTTTCAGGGCCGCCTTCTCGTATGCCAACGGTGATGAGCCCAGCCCGGTTGCCGAGAGCTACTTGGCCATGACGAAAGCTGTTTAAGCTTGTGTCAGGCCGAAGGCACTTTGGAGCGGTTCTGCCAGAGATTCTGAGCTTCAAGCTCTGAAACTTGGACTCAGGCGTTTTTGTCGGCCTCGTCGTGGGTGCTCAGGCCCATCGACACTGTGATTCGCCCAAGTTCTGTGGTGCGGCAAAGGAGATGCTTTTTGTCTCTGAGATCCGCGGGGAACCGTCGTCTGCCAGGTTGGCCTTTTCGTTGCAAGCAGCATCGGCGCCGACAAATGCAGGGTACCAAGCGAGAAGTTCCAGATTTCAGGTGCTGAATCGGTAACACGGCCCAGACCGCAAAGCAGATGGTGTGGCACTGCACGACCGCATCGCTGTTCTTGCACTGCAGCCTATGCGGCCCAATCTGTAGAACATGGAACAATGACAGACGGACAGAAAAGTGCATGCCTGGGACGCTAAAGTTTAAAGCAGCACGGTCGAATGGAGGTAGCTGAACTAAGTAGAATCAGGTAGACGCCGCATCGCCTCTGCCCGTTCTTAAGCTCTTCGAACTCAGGGCCCGTGGTGACCATTCGTGGGTAGGAGGGATGCTGACATGCATGTGGATGAACAGAGAGTCCTGGCTCGTGCTGAGCATCCTGACACTGGGTGCCAGCTTCTTTCTGCAAGCAACGGTCTTGGGGGGCTGGATGCTTCTTGGACACATTTGGGGTCGTGAGCCTGGGATGACTCTTCGGACTGCTGTGTGCACAGTCACATACCGAGGCTCTTTCTGGAGAAGCATGAGGACGACGATATGGACGCACCCTGAACGGCAGCAATGGTTGTTGGCTTGTAAGTCGTTTGGAGGCATGTCTAGGCGCAAAATGTTGAGGAGCAAGGAGGAGCCATTGTCCTGAATCCTCCCAGCTGGTGCCAGGTGCTGCGGCGCGTAGCCATCGTGGGTGCCGTGGCACCGCTTCTCTTCAATGCGGCCGCTCAGCTTCAAGCGTCGGCAGAGAAGAGTGTCTTAAGAGAAGATATGCAGGCTCGACGTGTGCGACCTTAGGTCTTGTCCACCTTGTTGGTGTCTGCCATGGTCAAGATGGCCAGCCTCTTGTCGTTGACTACTTTTGAATCTTCCATCAGTTTTTCAGGTAAGTGATGGTTCAGGGTGTCTTCGTAGCACCGGTGGGTATCATAGCCAAGAGACATGGTCAAGAACCGAGATGAAAATCCGCGAAGGCCTAGAGTTGGGCCCCCTTGCAGTGAGCCTTCTCAGGACAAGGCCAGCTCGCTTTTCCGGGATGGAGCCTGGAGGAGCCACCTGGGTCTTACACGGCCTTCCGGTTCTGGGACATCGTGCGGAAATTCTTCGTGTTGCTCGGTCCAAAGCGTGATCGAGCTTTGTGCGGGATGAGCGGATCCATCAGGGCATGTACTCTCTAAACTCTAGACTTTGCTGCATCACAGCAAGAAGTGGTGACAAGCGAGACAGTCCCGCGAACCCAAGCCGTACCCTGATGACCTCAAGTTTGATGTTTCAGATCAAAGCCCTTCTGATCGATTTCACCGAAAAGCTCCGGGCTGAACCCGGCGAGGCTATCCATCCCAATATTCTGGACCTGCATCCTGTGTCTGGATTGTGCAGCGGTCATGCACCGTCAGAAGAAGCAAGACCACCGGCTTTGGCTGCTTGGCCCAAGTTTGGCAATAGCAACAACTGTGTCGCAATTGCAAGAGCTCCAGGCTCCTCCAAATCCATCACCAACCAACAAGCACCCCAAAGACCTGGCAGCCTTTGTAGGGCTTTCGAATAGCTGAAGTCATTGACTGGCGATTCGGTGGTGTCATGACTGGGCCACGCAGCACGTCGGCCCGACGCTTCACACTTTCCCCACCCCCTCAACCCTTAGTTTACCTTTTTGTTCGGTGGACGGTGAACAGCTGTAGAATGCACCCCGGCTCGTCGTTCTGGCCTATTTCGTCGCCAAGCGGAGTATTATTGCAGCACTACCGTCGCAGATCAACGTCGGGTCGGCGCTTGGCGTCCCCGAGCCTCCATCGCCAACTGTAAACTGATTGTCTGCATGTCAGGATGAAGATGACCATCTTCTCCATTCTTCCATGCCTGCTGGACTTGAAGATCGCTGTGGATGGGGCCTTCCAGGCAGCAAGCTACCACTACGGCAGAGTGATGTTCCGTCGCTTGAGCTGCAGATGAAAAGCCCTCGTGCCTACATATGAAAGTTATGACTCAGATGCATGTAGAAGTGCTGTAGTAGAAGCGAACGAACGATCGAACGCTCGAACTCTCCTGAGGAAAAAGCCGGGGGTCACGGCGTGGCTCTCGCGAGTACGACGCTTTCCTGCGCCGCTGCCCCACCGGGCGCTTCAGCGAGGCCGGAGGTACACGAAAAATTGAGAGGACAGCGCGAAACCGTATGCCTTAGCCGCGTTAGCCGTAAGCCCAAGCACCTTTCACGGTGAAGTGCATGTTTGGCATACCCTGGAAAGAAAAAGCAGAAACCACAGAAATCCCATCCATCTGAAGCGAGGACGAGCATGTCGTGCAAACATTCTTACATGCATCTGAAGTCGTTTAGGGCCCGCATGCCAAGTGGCTGCCGGCAATCAGTGGCGCGGTCACAACATCAAGGGCAATAGCTAAGCAACTGATGATGCGTGCTGTGTTACATCCGCTTGGGTGCTGGGATGCATTATCGAGCTCTTGAGCTTACATCGTTCAGCCTTGGTCCTAGGTGTGCGAGGCTGCAGATGCCGAAAGGCAGCTCCTCGAGCAGGCCACGGACTGGGGACATGTTTTTGACCTCACCAACAAGAAGTAAGGCTGCATTTGGACTGGTGGTCGCGGGAACTGGCAACCATCTCTACAGATACATCTGACCTTACATCGTCTGCACAGACAAAACACCCTCGAAAAACAACCGCGCGAAGCCTGAGTGTCGCCTTGGAAGGATGTGTGTGTGATCTGCCTCGAACCTTTCGAAGTGGACCACCAGGTGCGCTGATGCTAGCGGCAGATAGCATGGGCGGAGCCTGTTTGCATGGGTTGGCACTGTCACTGTTGCATTGCCTTCTCCATTTCTGAAGGTGGCAGAACTGCCTTGCAAGCACCTCTTTCACTTCCATTGACTCTCGACGGCATACCAGCTCCGAAGGCTGTGGTCCTTACAACGTGGCATCATCCTTCAAGCGCTGCGCGCTGCAGATTCAAGCTTCCTTTGCCTCCCCTGCCGTCTTTCCAAGGCATCCGGCGCAACTTCAAGAAGAACTGGGCTCTAATGAAGCGGGCGCAGAAAGCCAAATGTCCTTATGGCTGCGGCACTGCATGACAGTTGAGCAGACTCCAGCCTGCGATATTAAATGGCTTTAGGTCAGGGACGGCCGTAGAAGACTAAGACAAACCAGTGGGGCTAGCACCAACTTGCATCAACCAACTGGAGCAGGTGGAATCTGACCTGCAGCAGTGCTTCAGTCTTCCGTGATATTGCAATGCAGGTTTATGGAATTGGTAGGACGGTGCGAGACGTCAGCAGAAGGAGATCCGGTCAACAGCAGATGCAGCATGCAATTCTCCTGACCCACCCCGGAACGGTATCTGATGGATTCTCATGGGCTGCAAGTCCCAGGGCTGCAGGTGTATATTGTTTGATCGTTCATACGCCTTGACACATCAAACAGGCTCATGGCATGTTTGCTAAACCTGGTTCCTTCATGATCTCGAAGCATGGCTACGTGTGTGGCTTGTGGCAATTCATCTTTTGGCTTCGCAGCTTCGTTGAAACCAATTCGTAGCCTCACTGCTACTATGTGATGCAAGTAGTTAGTAGTCATGGCTGTCACGGTACTTTCTCCTTCCACCGTGACAAAGACTACTGCGACAGTTCCCGCTGCTTCCACTTATTCAACTACGGACTACCCACCTCGTCCTGCTGCTAACTATCAGCTGCGACCATTGCAACCACCATGGTTATGCAGGTTTTGCTCGTCATCACTGCCTTTGCAGAACTGTGGCGGCTGCCACGATTGTTGCTAACTCCAGATGAGACGACGTTCGCGTGCCAATGACCGATGACGGCTGTTTATTCGAACCTTTCTGTTGGAGTCGCCCAGAAACAGGTGTAAAATGATGCACTTGTAAATTTTGGGGGTGCCGTTCACAACAATTTCTCCACTCCGCGACCCCCAAAGCTCCAAAGGCGACGCTAGAGAATAAGGCAAGCACACAAGATGCGAAGGTCTAGAATAGAACTGAATCCAGAAGACTTCTTGCATTGGACACTTGTCCCGCACCAATTTATTGTAGTTTCGGGCTGCCTGCGCCGGCAAGTAAGTTGCGCATGCATGGCCAAGGCATCCATGCTTGAGCTTCCTCGGATGGTTCGGCTTCTTTGGGTGGTAAGTGCGACAGGTAATGAAAGAAACTGGCTGTCAGTTGTGAAACCGGGAAAGCTTTCGCTTGCACTTGTGCACGATGCTCAGACGTAGCGTGTGCACTAATTAGGGAGCACGATGTCTCAAGACTCCTTCACAGGCGACACGGTTTAAAAAAGCGCGCGCTGTTGCAGGTATCCGATGCACAAAGGCTTGCTCGGCATGACGGTCAGAACTGCTACATTTTAACTATGAGATGTCGACATGCTGAGGCAAGTGCCACTACGAGGCCTTCGTTGAACCCACTGAAATGTGTGGCATTGGCATCGGGCCGCATCAGTCAACGGATGCTCCGCGGGATACAAGTCCGACAGGATCAGAAGCACAGGGTCTACATCATCTTCTACAACGCTGCCTTGATTCTGAACCTCGTTATGGACATCGCCCTGCAGGGTGGCAAGGATGCAAAGTCTCAGATATTGATTCGCGGTGTCTCTCCGGAAGCCTGTTGAGCTCTTTGCACAGACTCAAGACGCAAGTATCGCAAGGCTATCTCAGTTACCTGCAGATGGTCGGCGTAGGCGCGCGTGTGGCAGATGGCCGCCTTCTGGGGAGCTTGCAGAGCTTCCAGGAGACGGTTCAGTGGGGATGACCTTTCCCAGCTGCATAAACTCGAGGTTGCTTTCAGGTTCATGAGTTCATGTTGTGATATGGGAGTTTGATCTATGCTCGCTGTTGTCCACGACGCCATCGAAGGAGATCTTCGAGTCCTTCCCCATGCAGAAATCGGTCGGCAAGCTTTTGTTCAAATACTGCAACTCGGCCCCAAGAGGGAACACATCGCGGATCCTTGCATTAGACACCGCAAGCCGGCGAAACCACTTGTAGCATTGTCGGTGCTCCTTTCTCCAACATTGAAAAGCAGAAGGTTGGCCCTGTACCTTCCTGGTGCCCTTCGCCGTGGAGCCGTTCCTGGCACAGCTAGGTGGGCGAATCGCCACGGGGCGGGGGGAATGGGGCATGGGGTTTGGGAAGCTTTCAGCCGTCACGGCGATTCTTGCACACAGCCACTTGCACAGCATTGCGAAGACACGCTACAATAAACATGTGCTGCCATGTAGGTTGTGCTGACAGCAGACATGGGTTTGGGGTAGCATGACACGGATCGGCGAGAAAAATCATCCCTGGCATTGGTGGCATCGTGTCGTTGCAACAACCGCTCCTGCATGAGGCCCTTACCAGGTTGGTTCCATGCTCATCCGGAGCAATGCGCCCCTCAGCTAGATTGTGCAGGGGCATGCTGGGCTTCGAGAATGCGTCCCGTGTCACTTGTCCGTAGCCACCGTAGCCGCCGTGGCCTTGGCAAGAGCACAGGAGAGTCCGGGGTGAGAACGCCGAACGCGCCTTGGAGTTGTGCGGGGCCGAAGAGTTCATCTGAGTGCCTTCCACAGCACAGAGCATTCAGGAGCTCGTTGATGCCGAGGTCTGAGATGGAGCAGGGCCGATATGCGGATATAATCTTCAACCTCATCCTTGTTGCGTGCATTCCCTTCATAGCACCGGCCACTGGGCTTTCCATGAACCTAGCCATACTTGGGGCGAACTGCTGCTAACTGTTTGGACAATGCTGTACGCGTAAGGCATACATGGCTTGGACCTATGGCACGTTCATGGTGTCTCACTTGCCACTTGGACGGATTGAGGTTGGGAGGTGTTGAATGGCGAATGCTTCTCGGTTTGTGTTGTTTCAGGCAGTGATAGCTGCGATTAATTCGGAAACTCAGCACCCTACTTGTTTGCAATGCTTCCGCTGTTTCGGGTCCGTCAGTGTATACAACAAAAAACAAAAAGAGATGTAGTGACGTCTTCGTGCTGCAACACACAAGTGAGAATGCAGTACATCTGTGGCTGATAGCAGGTTTTCAGAATCGATTGAACCCACCGGAGGGTGCAGAGGTCCATGAGATTAGTTACGATTAGTTCGTTTGCCTATTTCACGCTTTCACTTTGTGCCATTATAAATAGGCAAAAGACTCAGCCACTTAATCATGTCGTAGGATTCCTGGCAACTAGGATTACATAGAAGTGGTCATACCATTGGAAGTTCGGCCAAAAGAAGGCGTCCAGCATCCAGCGGTCTGATTTCCTTCTTTGTTCTGCGTTTTCGCTAAGTTAGAGTGGACCTTCAATCTGCCGCATATGCTTTTGCAACCACTGTTCAGTGTTGTATCCGGCAGATTTTGCAGCCAATGTGGCAAGGTATATCTACTGGTATGATCACTGGAAGACGCTTCGATGGGCACGGAAGTTCTACTTCTCCAGTGATGAGGCCACTTTTCGTGCTGTGATTGATGGTTTGTCGGGGTCTGCATCAAGCGGATGAGGCAATGCTGACAAAAGTCCCCACAAGCACAGCAGTAATCGCTACAGGAAGATTTGCCATAGCTCCATTCAGCCCGCCAGCATCGTTCAACAGGTGCACTGGTTTGGACAGCAGCTCCTTTGCTTGCCTCTTGGGGTACTGGCAGCAAGTGCGGTCTTCAAAATCAACCAGCTGCTCGGCTGAAAGGCAAAGAGGTACGGGCCATTCCATCGAGGTCACCGGAAGTCACCCGAAAAAACGAACCTACAGACCGGACTTGCCGACCCTGGGCCCTGGGGGTTAACTTCTGAGAGCTCTGCTAACTCCTTTCTGCTCGACGAACCCAAAGCAAGCGCGCCTCTTTCACGTTCTCGTGTTCCCCTCGCTCTTCCTTAAGGTGGAGTGGAGGGGTCACTGGAGGACTTGGCTCTGGAGCAGCTTGGCCGACTGTGACACGTCTCGCGTGCTCTCCGCTCTGGGCACCGTCTCCTGCAGGTGCTCAAAGGCGCCACACTCTGGGGTGCGATGGGTGCAGCATTTACTCTCCACGTTGCCGTGCATCTCGCTCTGCCGCCTGGCCTGAAAAATGTGCTTGCATATGCCGAGTTTTATGTGGGTGCGGAATCGTCCAGAATGCACTGTAGCTGTGCTCCTGAGTCGGCACTTTTCAGGCTGACCTTCGTCGTGAAGCCGCCACTTGCACAGCACAAGTCTCCCTTTGTTGGCATTTCGTCCACGCTTCTGCCCCTCGCTCCTCTGTGTCTGGATGACTGCCAAGGATGCGTTCCGACCCCGACAAGGCGACAATGCCATAGCAGAGCGACGGTGTGAAATACTACAGGCTAAGTTTGGATGCCGTAGTGCCGACAGACTCAAGCCTAGTTATGCGATCGGCATTCAGAGATAGGCGTCCAGGGCCCGAGCCAGCAGCTGGCAATACCAGTAGCCTTGCAGGCTCCGAACGAGATGCCGTTCTCCAAAGTCGCCGAGGAGGCGCCCGCTTGCAGACTGCACCCTAGGCCCTAGGCAGCGAGGTTTGTGCGAACATGTCGGCTCCGCAGCTGCAGAGCGACCTATCATCACAGATGAGCACGCCAAGTTTCAGGAGGCGGCCACGCACCTGTCAACGAATCCTATCCAGTGCCTGCGGTCCAAGTACATCTTGGGGGCACCTCGGCTGGCTTAGATCGAAATACTCGACAAGAAGCGACTGATGTTTGGGCTTCCGACATGCGCTCGTCAAGTTGTCGTTTCTTGACGACAGGACTCTCCGCCGCTTAGCCCCTTTGTGCTTGGAAAGGTGCGGTGGCCCGGGAAGTTGTCGTGATGCCAGAGCGCTGGTAGCCGGTGAGTTGCATGAAGTCTTGCATTGTCTGGCAGCTGCGCGTATTGCCCTGCGGTCCATCGACTCGCAACTCCAATCCTGCAGTGGCCTGTAGCCATCTGCGTGAGCAGACCATGGGTTTGGCACAGGAGAAGGTCATGAAGGCAAATCCGAAACTCGGCGCCTACTTCGACGGGGAAGTGGACGCCGCGCAGAAGGCGCGTGAATTGCAGTTGGGATGTTTGGGGTTGAAAGCGTTGGCGTCGTTGATGGGAGTGTATGGTTTAGAGTTTAGAAAGAAGTCATGGGACATCATTCTGGTAGCTCAAGCATAGCTGACGTACTGGTACAGTCTCCGACAAGATCCCACAATCGAGATGCCGCCTGCACAGGCGAAGTTCAGAGAAGAACGGCGCTCACGATTGAGCCAAACGAAGGAAGAGGTGGACTTTGAAGTGTTTGTCAGCTCGAGCAATTCAAAGTTCAAGCACATCGGTGGAAATGCACGAAACAAGGAAGAAGCTGCACAACTCGTTGCACTGACTCGAACATGCATACTGCATACTCCCAGGATGGAGCCGGGAGACTGACTGTGCCAGTGCAAAAGGACCCGCCTACCAAACTACTGCCCTTGCTCGCAGGCTGCTCATCCGCCAGACGAGGTGCAGACGACGCAGACGACGGCATACATCAATTGACAACTGAGTCTTATGAAGTTGTAGCAGTAGCTACAAAATAGTGGGTCCTAGGCCCTAGGCTCCTGGAGGTGCACTGTGTTGAATCGCACGATCCTCATCTCCGCCGCAATGCGCAGGCAGAGAAGGCGCCAGACGCGTGAGACGAGCCCGGACGCCTTGGACACACCGGTGTCGGACGGTGGAAGGGAACTGTGTCACCGCAGTTGGATGAAACAAAACACGCGTGGCGGCTGCATCCCAGCTTTGCTAAGAATGCCGACGGCGAACTGGCGGATCCAAAGAGAGAGCTCTGCTTCGACGTTGCAGGGCACTGCCCATTAAAGTCTGCAGTATACAGCTGAAGGGCTGAGCACGGCGTCCTTTGTTCGACGCTGGTTCTGGGACTGATGTTTCTCTCGCCAGAAAACCGGCACAGTAGTGAGCCAGACGTCTGCTTTGGACAGGTCGTTTCCTCCTCGAATCGCTTCCAAAGCGAAGAGGTGCTGGAGAGAGATCGGCAGAGGCCGAGGGAGCATCAGCAACGTTCGGAACCTTACAACATGAGTCCAGCTGCAAACCAATGGAGCATCCGCACACCTCCAAGTGCTACAGGAGAGCAATGTCGAATGCCCAGAGCCGCAGCAGTATTGGCCGGACCCGGCATTCCTCGGCAGCGGCAACTCTTTGTCTACAAACATGTGTACCGTATTGATATTTCTGATTGCAATGTTAAGGCTCGGCCGAGGCCATACGAGTGGGAATCAAGCTCCTGGTCTTCCTTCCGTTCAGACAGTCTTGGCATGTCCTGTTCATGCAGGCAGCGCGCTGCTGCCTGCGATCTCCGCAGCCGTGGGGGCGGTCGCCACGACAGAGCCCAAGATTGAGCTGGGAATGTTGTGGCCTGCAGTGCGATACTCTTCCGGGTATCCGACTTTGCTGCAATTCTTACCTTTGGCGCTGCGTGTCGTCTGCCTGCTGGAAGACAAGTTGTCAACGTGTGTCGGCGATCTCGATTTCGATTGTTTCAGCTGTCCAAGCTGCCAGAATGCCTCTCCGGCACGCTCGCATGCAGCCGCGCTGTTCTTCGGCCAGGGAATTCAAGAGGCCGGGCGGAAATTGAGCCGAGAGCTCGCTGCTCGACCACTTCCGCCAGGATCCCGTGCATCTGCCGCCGGGAGCCTTGCAGCACGTTGCGCGGCCACCCTCCAGGCCATGCGCTGGCCATGCCAAGCGGGCTAGGAGTTTCTCGCGCAACTTGCTGTCATCTGCGCAGAGTATCGGTCCAGGTCGATGCACATCATGCCCAACAATGCCGCCGGCCCCGTGAATGAGATCATCGGTCGAGTGCTCAGAGTTTTGCACAGATGCTTAGATGCGCCCGCTTGGCCTCAGCCAACCGAACACTGGTTTGAAGGAAGCTTGGGACCCTGGATTCTTTTTTGTAAGCGTTTCAAGCGACGTTAAGGTGCTCACGCCGGGGAGGAAGGCTGGCCGGTGTAGGTTCTGTTGCGGGACGGTAGGGACTACAGTTGTACTGCAGAGAAGGGCACTGGGGATAAGAGATGCGAGTGGCGCACAGCACCCGGAAGAAAAGTGGTCACCGACACATCCGAACTCTGAGCACGAGCCAGAAGACCAAAAGCCACCTCAAGACCCGAAAGCCGGTGTCAAACTCCAGGCGCGAGCCAGCAGGATTCCGATGAGGTTGGAGAGGGATTCCGAAGTTTGATGTTTCGAGCCTTTCCTACCAAGCAGGCCTCTCTTCATCCAAGCAAAGCCCCCGCACTTCCGCCAGCAGCCTACCAAGCTAGCATCTGTAAGCCGAAGATAGTTGTTTGATTCCAGCAGGCCACTGAGTCCGAAGCAGTGACCCCTTTGATGCGGAACAGGGCATAGGCGGTGCTTCGCGTAAAGCACGGATCTATCTCTCGTAATGCAGCCTAGATGCGCCACATTGAATGCCATATCCGTGAAGCAGTTGCGAGACTATTTCTGGAACCTCGTTGGCGATTCTGACTCTGACTTTGGGTTACAGCAAACATGCGTAATAAGCACTGGTACACAGCTGAGTGCTCAGCTGAGGGAAGGAAACAAGAGTTACCACAAGCAAGCCGCTTGCAATTCTGTTGGAGCTGAACCATGCCCTGGCAACAGGCTTCGGAAAGCATTTCCAAACTTGAGCGCAACCACAGTCCCCGAACATGCGAGGGATCATCCGCTACTTCTTCGGAGGAAGAAGAAGGCTTCGCACAGTTTTGCTCTCATCGGATAACCAGTTTGGCACGGCCTAGGTCGCTAGGTGGCATGGCCTGGGTCGGTTCAGTACTGTACTTACACCGCCCCATGTCGAACGCGAGTTGGTTACAAGTGCAGACTGCCTTGGTAATGTGTTCTGTGTCTCCGAGCCGATGAGTCTGACACTTCTGCTGCGCAAGACCTCTCAGATTCACGACTGTGAAATTCATTTCCAGCTTCTACTTCGGTTTGTTCAGTTCTGGATGGCCTTGGAGCATCTTCGCCTGCCGGATACATGCTGCAATTCGCCTTGATTCAGGCACCGAGTTGCAGTCGGATGATGAGGCCGTGTGGATCTTTGGATCCCCTAATTCAGTCATTATCGCGCTGTGCTGTGGAGACAGGGCGGAGCGGGCGGTGGAGGACGCAGGCGAAGTTCCAAAGAGAGCGTGGCGGCTCAGATGTCATGCGCGAACTCACGGTCACATGATGATGTGACATGTGCAACATGCAGAACCGCTCGGATTCAGATCTTCAGCAACTGCTTGATAAAGAAGCCAACGCTCTAGTGTGTGCCACAGCCATAGCTGCCGCAACCAGTAGTCTGCTATCCCCTTGCGTCAAGCTCAGGCGAAGTTTGGAAGCCGGCGATGCCCAGGAAGCACATCCCACAAGTACTGAGCATCAAACGCAAGGCCGCATTCTCGCACGGCAGATGCGGTTGAATGGGAGCTCAATCTCATGAAGCGCTGGGCGCAGTTTGCTTCAGCTCGCTGCCAAGTACGAGCTTCAGAAGCCGTCGGCCGTCGCGTCAGGTAGAAGACCTGCCGGATATCAACACACTCTACGAGCCACGTGAGCTAGCGCAGCTCTTTGCACCTCGGACCGCAGACGGGTCGAAGCCGTGTGACGTGTCGCGGCTTGTCGCAAGGCCTCAAAGAGTCGACGTCTCAAGTCCTCCACTTTGCTGCAAGCGCGAGATCCCTTGCACCCCGAAGATGTGCCCTAGCCGTTTAGCTAACTTTGGAGGTTGATACTTGTACGGAGCTGTCGCCAAGAGCGGTTTTGAGCCCAGAAATGCGTGGACGCCTACGTCCACCTCGTCCTCCCTCCGGGCGGCTCCTCTGCTTTGGCCCCGGATCTTTTACTGGCATTGAGGTCTCTAGGTTTCGACAGGCCTTCAGGACTTCAGGCAATGCAAGGATTTCGGCCACCGCCGAGGTGGCCCACAGCCCGGACATGTTCCTCGCCTCCATGCTCGCCTCACTCGGCTCGGGGAGCCCAACAGGGCCAGGGCCTTTGCGGCTGCCACCATGGGCGGCATTCGAGCCAAACACCTCAGCGACGACGGTAGCACAGCCTTATCGTCTACGATCCTCACATCTTGTGCCAGCGACGAGTGGTTTCGTTCCGTGGCATTCAAGGCGCCCGATAACGCCCAGCACCGACGTCGGAGGTGCAGGCTGCGCAGCAGCCGCTTCAGCCATTTAAAGTCTAAAGCTTCCGATTCACCGCAGGGAAGGCACCCTCAGCATCCCTAGATTTTGCGAGGTACGGGTTACCTCCGCGATCGGGAGGGGCCCTTGGTGCTGCGGCCCATCTTCTGCAGGCTGAGCGTTCTGGTGTTGTTCAGCAGCAGACATACCAGTACATGTACCGCTACCTTATGAGGGTTGATCTGCAATCCCGGCTCTTGACTTCTCACGACACAGGCGAACTATTCCAAGGCCCCTGATTGAAATAGCCGAAATAGCATTGAGAAACTGGCGTACGCGCAAGCGGCCGCAAAAGCCCTCAAGTGACAAACTCATGCTTATTCAAACTGGAGTCCAGGAATGTTCTAAGAGTTGTATGTAGGTGGGTCGAAGCCGGTGTGTATTTCAGATCATTCATCGGCACTTATTTAATTTTAACGCTACGCCGCCCGCCTCGGCTGTGTGGCGGCAGGGCGAGGGGGCAGTCGATGTTTTTTTATGCTAGGGCGGCCTGTCAAACCCCAACCTTTACACGGTTGTTGATACGAAGTGCGAGGAGAATGGGTAGGGGAGGGGGGGGAGGGGGGGGGGGGGGGGGGGGGGGGGGGGGGGGGGGGGGGGGGGGGGGGGGGGGGGGGGGGGGGGGGGGGGGGGGGGGGGGGGGGGGGGGGGGGGGGGGGGGGGGGGCCGACAAATCAGGTAAAATGAGGGGAAGCCGGGCAAGGGGGTGGCAAACGAACGCAAAAAGCGGGTGTCCCCAAACATTTGGACCGCAGGGAGGAGGATTAGGTGGAGGGTACCTGAGCTAACCCCCAAGACGCCTGGGCCTGTGGCCTCGGCGGATTTGGTCCGCTCCCATATGCTCGCAAATGGTTGTACTGGTATAAGTTGTGTCCAATACGACAGCCGTGCTTCTGTCCAAGTTACAGTTGCCGAGGCTTGCCTCCCTTTTGGTCCGTCCATACAGGATGGTTGCGAGTCGTGATGTGTGTGTGTGTGTGGGGGGGGGGGGGGGGTGCGTGTGTGCACTAAAGCCTTTGGTTGTGTGAGTCGGCGGAAAATGTCGTTCTCGAGCTGTTCTGTGCTGCTGTGTGTTCAGCTATAGTGAAGGTATGAGCGGATACATTTGGATACTGTTGCATGTGATGAGTTGAGACAAGAATCCTTCATTCAAAACACATCATAGCTGTGTGGTGTCTTAAATCACGGTAAGTCTATGTGTTTGTCATCCTCCATAATCAAGTGTTTCCTCTGCCTGGCTGGCTGTCTGTCTGTCTGTCTGCATGCTATCTACCTATCCATGTTCCTATCTATGTTGACATTCGTACAACAGGGTGCTCGAGATTTGTCATGGCTCCAGTATGTGTTTACGCTTTTTCGTTTGTGCGTGTCCTGCTGAGATGTGCTGAGATTCGATGGACGAAATCGCAGGTTCTTGTTGGCCTCGAAGCTTTGTGGGAGCCGCGACTCGCCCCATCGTTACCAGGATTGCTGGGGCCTTATGGGGCCGTGCTTGTTGCCAGACAGAAAGCTCAGTCGCGTCTTGAAGACTTTTGCTCTTGTGGCAGCCGACGGGTACAGTAGTTTCTGTCGGTGTGTTTCCTTAGATGTTGGAGATGTGTCTTCTAAGCACGGGACGGCTAACGCGCTGAGCTTCCTGACCGCGCCGGATTAGAGCTGCGAGTACCATTGAGGCGTTGCTGCTTTCGACGCGCACGCAACACGATACGAGGCAGATCTGTCACATGGAATCTCCAGTGTCGCCTCGCAAAGTTGTGTCGCGTGCATATGGCTTTCGACCGGCTCTGCTGATTTGTTCTTGTTCAGCTCCCACAGCAGACTTCGAATCCAAACTGAAGTCCTTCAAGCGGCCAGGCCTTTTTCGGAATGCCTCGGAACCTTCTTTTGAGGGTCCTCTCAGGCGCCGGCTGCGTCTTCGGGTGATAATTAGCTGCGACTCGCAAAGGTCGACAATTTTTGGCCGTTTGACCATTGGAGGTACATGTGTTGGTCAGACGAGCAAAGATTCGTGTTAGTCGAACTGCGCTCGCCAGTAAGCCTGCAATGAAATACCTGGCTCAGATGACGAGAACCGAGTATGCTTTGGCTTGATGTGAAGAGCAACAAAGGCTCAACGACGTTCAACCGTTACACTGCAAGTAGGTAAGCAGGATAGACTGTACAGTTTCGTCATGCGAGCCTGAACCAGCTGAGATACTGTTGGGGGAAGTTTGGTCCGAGAATGCATAGTTTCGCACAACGGGAGATCCCCGATATAGGTCTGGGGCCGATGAAATCCTGGTCCAAGGACAGAGGATACCCCTTGGAACCCCAAGCCGCCAGCCGAAGACGAGACACACCCACCTGTCAATGTACGCCTTGGATAAATGGGTTCTTACCTTTGAAAGAGGCAATAATTGCATCAATTCGCTGAACTTCATGTTCGTTAGGTTCTGGAGCCTGCATGCGAGGTACCTTGCCTTCAACCCAACTCTGTTTGGCAAAAGAACCTACAACCCCAAGCTGAAGCTCCCTAAACTCTGGAATCCTAAGCCCTCCAGCCCTAAAACAAAGAAGCCTGCAATTGTCAGCGTTTTGCCAAGTGGCAATCTACCAATCTGCCTGTAGGCATTGTGTTGCCGCCTGGCTGCGAGGCATCCTTGCTCCCCGGCTGCAATTTTCTCGCACAGCGCTTTGCTTTAGAGGGGACGGTTTTGTCCGTTATCTTCATTTGGATGAAAGACGATGATGTTCTCGAGTCTCGAGCATGAACCGCCATCACGAGGATGGCATCTGCCTTCAGTGACAAAGTTGTTCGGCAGCTGCCGCCGCAGGCAAGCGGGCAGAGTCTTGGGTCCAGGCACCATGTAATGCCGCCACTGAAACCACTCAGCAACGGGCCTGTGAAAAAGCTGAACAGCAAAGAAGTAGCTGCATCTCAAGCCGCGATGTTTGTGCCCAAAAGCCGTGTTCTGTCCTCGGCTCGTTGATGCAGGTGCGGCGGTTCTTGGATCACCATCTACGCACTGCCAACTCTCACTGTGAGGCCAGGTTAAGCGAGCAGGCAAAAGGCCAGTCTTTCAATTGCAGCTAACCAGCGGTTGCGCCATCTCCGTGGCCATGCGTGCTTGTTGCAAAGGCTGCATACCTCCCGAACTAGATTGAAGGGGGAGGCCGTCGATGCTAGATTCTGAAATCCTCCGGTGAAGGACGTCGAACAAGTTCTTCAAACAAGGGGACGGTTCCTGTGGTTTCACACGCATGGGCCAAGTGAACCACGTCCCGGGCCATCCTTGACTAGTCTCTCAGGTCTGTGTGTGTGTGTGTATGTGTGTGTGTGTGTGCGCGCACGCATTTCGTGTTTGAGCACGTGGCGGCGTTATTGAACGCTGAAAGTGTTTCGGATCACCAGAAACTGAACAGCCAACTCGGTCCAGTCAATTGCCCAACAACCACCCGCTTGCCTGTTCAATAACCGCCCAGCTCAGCGAAGTGTTCAAGAACCGCGCGAAGAGTTGCGGCTAGAGTTAGCCCATGATGTGTATGTCTGATATGTATGTACGTGGGTGGTTATCAAAATTATGGTCAATTTCTGGGTCCCTATTATTGTATGGCACCTCATATTTAGGATACCCAAAAAGGGACCATAATTTTGACAACTACCCATGTATGTATGTATGTATGTATGTATGTATGTATGTGTATATATATACATGCATGTATGTGAGTATGCATTCGTATACATGTATATACATGCGTACAAACATACATGCATACTTACTTACATACCCACATGCAAACATGCATACATCATGATACATGCATGCATACATGTGCACATCACATATTTGTACATCAACACACACACACAGACGCACACGCACGCACGCGCACACACACACACACACATACACGTGTGGAAGTTTACCGACTCACCTCAAGAAGAGGTGGCGGTTGCCCAGGCTTTGATACCTGAAGGTTGTTCTCTTTCTTCTTATAGCTATACGAAAAAACATATCGAAAAGCTCTGAACTCATGTGAAACAGCAGGCACGCCAAGCTGGCCAAGCTTAGTATCCCATGCATCTGGGCAGCTTCGTTGCGATGGGATTCCCCGATGCACGTCCCATCACCCTGCTTGCTTTTAATCGGATCGGATTGCAAATCAGAGACTCTTAGGTACAGAGGTTCCCACACACACAAACCCTCCTTGGGGTTTCCTGCCAATTATTACACTCCGTCCTGGAATGTAGCAGATATCATGTCTCCACACGTCGTGGTCTTTTCTATGGGTTTGTGATGCTCAAGCTCCTTGATTTTATCCAGAGCTGTCGACCCTTGCATCATGATCTTGGTGAAGGTGAAACAATTGCTGTTCTCTAAGTTGTTCTTTAAGGGGATGCTGGCCACACATACTTGGGAATGGAGTTTTTTCTACTACTGTACAATGCCGACTTTTGGTGAGTGCCGCCGCTAGATGGCAGTCTGTAGCGCCAATCATCTCGATGGTATCGGGTCTGTTCAAAGATCGAAGCCTAAAAACTCGCACTGTGCGTACGCTACTTTGACGCGCTCCCGTTGAACTGGTGGAATGTAGAAATTGTCATGTAAAAAAGTCCTCAAACTAGGACGGCGAAGCAATGTTTTGTCAAGAATAACCACACGGTCGTCGACGTACCTCGAACAAACAACGATGCTGCACATGTTGAAGAAACTGGTAATTCTGTTGCACCCAATGCTCTTCAAGAAGAGCGATACTATATTTGCCAAGATCGGTGAGATCTGGTTGCCGATTGCAGCTCCACGACACTTTGCATAAACTTGTCCGCCAACAACGAAGAAGCTAGTGCCACACGATAACTTGCAAATGTCCACCAAATCCTTGATAAAGATCGAGTAATGTCTAGCACCAGCTTTTCTTGGTCTACCTTTCCAAACCCTCAGCTTGACATTTTTCTCTCGTAATGAAACTGTAAAGGAGCAATTGGAATAATCAACGCCACTGAGTTCCACAAACTTCTCGATTACCCAGTTGACTGCATGCAGAATACGTTCAACAGGAATTGATGCAAAGAAGCCCACAAGGGCTTGGTTAACCGTGGTGAGCTGTATGTCGTCCGAAGCATTCTCCAACCATTGTCGTAGTGTAGTCATCATTGCTGGAAAAGTTTGCAAACCAAACGAGCATGGAAGTAC